AGTAGTAGTAGTAGTAGTAGTAGTAGTAGTAGTAGTAGCCGTATATACTATTTACGAGTTAGTAATCTATAATAGGTAGTCCGTAGAATACTATAAGATAGCTATATTAATAACTACTATACTACGTATAGTAATATAGGTAATCTACGATAGTAGAGCCTTACGAGGCTATAAAAAGAGGTAGTAGGTCGTACTAGAACGTCTTTAGGTACCTAGGCTTCGATAGATAGTAGTAGTCTAGGGAATTAGCCTCTCTCTATATATTTTTATTAGCTAATTTTATATATAATTAGTATCTCTATAGAGGGACTATCCTTTAATAGGGTAGCGATAGTAATATACTATAGTAGGTAGGTAGTAAAACCCCTACTCTATCTTTCCCCGCGTAGATATTAAAGGAAGTGCATATTTATATATAAAACAGGTGGGGGTAAGCATTATCTACGCTTAGTAACTGGGGTCCGGCCGGGTTGCTGGGGTCCGCGGAAGCACTGGGGCTACTAAAGACGTGCAGCTGGATGTGTCGGGCAGGAAACCCGACACATCGCCGTCATGCGACAGCAAGCGCCTCTCTGCTGCCGGCCGCTGCCAAGGCGACCAACAAGAGGGCAGAGACACGCGGAAGGGCGAATGACATCTCGGATACTTCCATGCTGACCACGCTGACGTGCAGCGCGGCAGGAACGCTGAGGAACGCTCCAAGCGGCGGCCACGGCGGCAGCAGCCAATATGCACGGTGGGGTCTTGGCAGGCATCCTCATGGACATCATCATAGTACCATTCATCGACGCATGTGATAGAACAACTAATTTGGCAGCTTCACCTCTCACCCAGCGTTGGCGCCTGTCACGGATGGTGGGCATATGCTGAATTCGACTATCGCTCTACCTACAGAAACGCAGGCCCACTCAGATCAGACCGAGCCGACTTCACCGTGTCCATCTTGCTGGCAGAACGCGCCGAGATCAGCCCGGCTCCCTCCATCTCGCCTTCACTGTCAATGTCGTCCCACCGTTCGCTCCCGGCGGTCGTCGCCGTGTCCTGCTCTGCTTTCATGCTACTCAGCCGCTGGACCTCCTCCACAGATACCGGCCGTCTGGACTTCGTGTGGGCAATTCGGGGCCGGGCCTTACTCAAGCTGTCCACGCTGACAAGACCCATTGGCTCGCTCAGGCGCTTCTGGCGAGCCGAGTTGGGCTGCGCTTGGGACGATGCTTTCTCTGCTGCCGCCAACTTGACAGAGGAGAGCGGTGACGATGACTTCTCCCGCAACCGTCTACGCCAGTCTTTTCCGAGGCCTGCTGAAGGCGTGCTGTTCCTTGACCGTGATTGCTGTCTTGAGGCCATCGCAGCAGGGGGTGGTGTTGGGGATGCCTCGTCCGGCAGCACCCAACTCCTCTCATGTCTCGGCCTGGACAGCTCGTTCACCCAGTCATTGCTGCCAATGGTATCCCAGCTGTCGTCCCTCTCCATTCCCGCGTGAGTATCGTCATCGAGCGTAGTCCGACTGATGACTCGGGGATAGTTCTCGGGGAAAGCCGACCTCACTCTTTGGCTCAGCCTCTTCTGCTCTCTTCTTTGAGCCCTTCTCGGACTGCCCAGCATCTGTGGTTCGAGCGAAGAAGATTCTGAGTATGTCGCGAGCGTGTTCATGCTCTTGCCATTCTTTGACCTCCTCGAGCGCCTCACACTACCCGCCGAAGAAGCATTCCCTGATCGGCTGCCACTGCCCGTGGTATGCTTCGACTCCGCTCTCGAGCCGTGCGCAAACAGCGGACTTTGCGACCAATTTGTACTGGCGCGATTCCTGATATAAGACTGTCTCTTATCCTGGATCGGCCTGTTATCCACAATACTATCACTTCGCTCCACCAGCCTAATGCTCTTGCGCTTGGGATCCGCTTCGAAAATGGACAAAGTCGGGACGGAGAGCGAAGTGGAATGTGTGGATCTCGGCGGCAGTGGGAACTCGGAAGCCTTTGTGGAAAGCACACTTGTCCCGCACGTCTTCAAAGATGCCACACTGCTCGCCTCTCGGGTCATCGACAGGCCACCGAAACTGCTTCTTCCTCTCCGATGCTTGCCTGCTCGCTTCGACGAATGCCTGGCAATCCCACCTCCTATCACAGTCGAGATCCCAAGTCCAACACTATCCCTGTCTCTCGAACGTCGCTTCTCACGTAACCTCTGCAGTGCCGTTTTACTCGGCGACGTCTGCGACAGGTGTCTTGAGACCCTCGCCATCTCCGTCGGAACGGAAAAGCTATCGTGTGCCGTATGCAAGACCGATGCCCCCAACTCCGGAATATTGGAATCGTGTCTTAGCATCTCGTCCCCACCCGCACCAATTGACGAGACCTGACTGATCCGCGAGAATCGTCTTGACCATCTCGACGTCCTGTTGTTCGCCGCAGACGCAGACGTACCAGTCAGAGGCAGATTCAGGTGAATTTGCGGCGGCGGGTCAATTGCCTTCCCTTTCGGCGGGACTTCCGGTCCTTCCGTCGCTGCAGCAGCTGTATCCCGGTCCGCACCAGCATTCTTCTCGACATCTCTCTGCAACTCCGTCGTGATTGTAATCGTCTCGCTCGGTCCAGGAGGTAATATTGGACGGGAGATGGTATTCTTCTCCGGCGTTGGCGATTTCGATCGGGAGACGTAGCTTCTATCTCGCCTTCTGCGGCGGAGACACCAGATGAGCGCTACGAGGAGGACAAGTGTTCCGAGGATACTGAGGATTACGATTGCGGCTATGACGCCTCCGTCTAGACGTTTGGGATTTGAGCGTGCTGATTCGAGGCCGACGCTGGGAATCACGCTTGAGGAGGAAGTGCTGGAGGAGGTTGTCGTCGAAGATCCTCTCGAAGCTAGCCATGTACCGCTAGTACGAGCCGCGTTCGATGTCGCAGTCGTTGGCAGTCCTCCTACAGCCGCTCCTGCTGTAGTCGCCGCTGTCGAGTTCGCATCGCCAGAAACCAAATTCACCACCACACTTGCGCGATTCCCCAGGTCATCTTGAACAGCCACCGTGAAACTCCCTCCCACATCTCCTCCCTCCGGCACCGTGGCTTTCAATTCCAGCGTCTTCTCATCAAAAGACAACCAACTCGGCATCCCTTGAACATTCGCGCTCCTCAGATCCTCCGCGTGAACCTGCACCCCATTCCTCCAGATACTCCTTCCCAAGCTCGTCACATCCACCTCTCCCCCCGCACCAGGAAGGCTGACATTCACCTCCCCCGGGACAAACACCAACTGTTCCGTCCCGATCGCAACCGTGAACTGTGCCTCGGTCCCCGCAAACCCTTCCACATCCGACGCAATCAGCAGAATTCCCCAGCTCTGGGGGAAAGCGCTGAGTTCAGGCGCGTCACCAGAAAACCTCAACGTGTCCGGGGAGAAGCGCAGCCAGGACGGCAGAGGCGTATGATCCCGCAGCGTGGCGTAGTAGAACAGTCGCCGCTGCACGATATCGATGAAGGAAGACTGCTGGAAATCCCACGCAAAAGCCGTCTGGGGCAGCAGCGTGACGACGGGCACCGGGGAGGTCTGGGAGAGATTCGCCGCTCGAGCGAGTTGTTCGGCGAGGGAAGCCGGCGTTGCGATTCTCGGCGCCGGCTGGGACGAGACGACGAGTGTACATTCGAGGTGTGCCGCGCCTGTGCTATCCGCTGCTGTCAGGAGGAAAGTGGGATTGCCCGCGTCGCTGGCGCCGGGTTTTCCGCTCAGACTTCCGGAAGTTGGGTCGATGGTGAGCCATGCGGGTTGCGCGGAGAGGGAATAGGTGAGATTCCCATCGATGGGGTTGTTGGTGAAGGTGGAAGACGACAGTTCGTATTGGTATTCCTGACCGACGCGCGCGACGGTGGGGACTTGGGAGTTGAAGGGGAAAGCGATTGTGGGCGCTGCGGTGACTGTGGAGACGAAGAGGGCGAAAAGGATGCAGGATAGGATGCATGCAGACGCAGACGCAGACGCAGACGCAGATGCTGTGAGAGGTGCCATGGCCTGATTTTGTGTCGCATCAGTCAAGTGCATTTAGTCGACCTTCCGCTCCTCTGTTGGCGTCCTCCTCCTCCTTCTTCTTCTTCTTCTTCTTCTTCTTCTTCTTCTCCTTCTTCTTCTGCTCTCGCTGATGAATCCCTCACAACGAGGAAAGATGTCGCATGCATGCACGCTGAAAAGGTTCGACATTGGCAGAAATGACATTTTTTGGCGATCGACGCGAAAGATCGCGTCGTCGCGCGTGTGAAAGAGCGCTCTGTCTGGTGCGCCCTTGCTAAAAGGTGGCTGAAGAATGAATGAATGAAATGTCCCCGACTCCTGCTCCCAAGCCAGGGGCGGGCGGCGAAGCGCGATTTCGTACCGTAGGAACTTCATTCTTCAGCTTTTGAAAAGCGGGGGGAGAGAGAGAGAGAGAGAGGGAGGGAATTGAGAAAGGGTACAGGAAAATGGGAATGTGCGTGTTGCACGTCCCGTAGTAGTGAGCCAGACCATGCATTGCAAGCGCTACGAAGATGTATGGTATGGTATGGACGCACAGCCAGAGAGACTGGCATCGGCGGCCAGCGCAGCAACTTATCGCAGTAACGCATTTCACTCCGCATACCAAGAACAATATTCCCAAGAGGGTAGAATTTCAGTAATAAGCAACAGCCTTCCCTTCAGACAGTGGGCGACGCATTGATCCTCGCGATGAAGAAGCTGTGCCGTCGTCCATGTCGAAACGGGAGATGTGCCAGTACTGAAGCAAGCATACATGTAGTCTATGAGGTCCATGATGATGATGTCGATGACGAGCAGGATGATATGATGATGAAGTCTGGAGTCATCAGGTCGTTGCAGTTCTGATAGAAGGTCGAATAGATGGCAGAATCTCAACATCCGACGTGCACAGGTGAAGCGCTGGCCACGCGTGAATTCTGGACGTCGCAGCGAGGGAGGTTGTACTGTACCGGCGAAGGCTAATCGGCCGCCAACGTCGTCATGGCTGCCCTATAACCTTATCCGACTGTGGTCGTTCGAGTGTGTGTGGAGGCGTGAATCGGTGAACGTGGTGCTTCGGTGCCCGTCATGATAATAATCCTTCCACTACCTTTACCTTACCTACTACGACTAGCTCTATGGCAAGCAGTCCATCTGTTGCCGTTGTCGGACCATTGGCCGTGTCATGCCACTTCTGTCGTCGTACTGCTCCTGACGTCGTGGGCGCGGGATGCCCTGGTGAACTGAACTGGTTCGCCGTCTCCCTGCCCGTCAACCTGTCAATCCGCCAGCTTGTGCACCGTGACGGCAGCGGCGGCGATACCCGTCTCCTCGGCTCGATCCCGATGTCGAGCACCTCCCGCTCGCTCTCTTCGGCTACAGACCAATCACCTCCCACTCGCTGCAGAGTCTTCCGCTCGGGGCAACTGCGAAGGACTGAGACTGTACCTGCACCTGCACCTGATGATCTGATCCTCTCCAACTGGACGCCCTCCCCCAAACATGCCCTCCTCGGACCCCTCCTCCTCCTCCTCCTCGCCCGATGCCTGGGATATCTCCGAGGATTTGGTCTCCGCTCCGTCCTACAAAGCGGCGGCGACAAACACCCTCCATCTCGACGGTCTGCTCACTCCGCCGCTCGTCGTGCACGAGGATCTCACACACGGCAATGGCGGTCAACTCTGGCCGGCAGGAATGATCTTGGCCAAATACCTGCTCCGCAAGCGGCGAGATGAGCTCCAGGATGCCACCATGTCCGTTGCACACAAATCCCCCCCTTTCTCCCCGCGCGCGTACCATGCCCTCTCTAACGTCTGCGCAACAGTGTGGAGCTGGGGAGCGGAGGCGGCCTCGTAGGGTACGGTACACACCCGCACGCCGGTCTTCGTGTTGGTCGCGGAAGCTTCACTGACCACCTCATAGGCTGGCCATCGGCGTGGGATGCATACCCAAATTAGTCCACATCACAGACCAACAGCCTATGCTGGACTTGATGCAGCGCAACATTGCCCTCAATGGCCTCGAAGACAGAGTGAAGGCGAGCGTATACGATTGGGGCAACGAGCGCCCCGAGGCAATCCCACACTCTCCTGACATGGTGCTTGCCGCCGACTGCGTGTATTTCGAGCCTGCCTTTCCCCTGCTCCATCAGACTTTGCAGCATCTGATCGGGCCGGAGACGGTCTGCTATTTCTGCTTCAAGCGCAGACGGCGCGCGGACATGCACTTCCTCAAGTCTATCCGCAAGACGTTTGTGGTGGAAGAGGTGACTGATGACCCGGACCGCGAGAGCTATGCGCGCGAGAATATCTACCTGTACGTCCTGGATCGCTAATGGATTGGCTGGAAAGTGCTGATTCCATGCCCAGGTTGACGATACGACAAAAACCACAGCGATGAAACATGTCGCGGAGATGAAGTTGGGGACGATCGCTTCAAGGATACACATGAGGTCCGCACTCACTTGTTGTTAGCAGCGACCTCCCCGGAAGCAGTCCCTCGAGGCTGACGGTACTTGGCAATACAAGGCAGATGCGATCTCGGCAGCCACGCGTACTCACAGGCTCTACGAAGCCGTGTCCGTCACCTGTGCAAATGATGATGACGGAGCAAGCGGTATGGAGGTGAAGCGGAGGCCGGTCCCGTGCCTGAGCATGTGGTTCGGATGGACGGCAGGATGCATACCGCAGTGCAACCAGACAGACTGCGAAACGCCGACCAATCAACGGCTCGCCTCCGCGACGCTATTCATCCGTTCTAAGCGCTCGTCGTGAGCGGAATAATGCATGCACACAGGTTGACAGGCGACAGGCTGAGCTGGAGGATGCAGGCTGGCAGGCAGTTCAGGGCTGGAAGCCAAGCAAAGTCAAGTTGCCGTGGTCCGCGTGATGAAGTGCAACGATTTTTTTTGTCCAAGATGCTCGTCCGTCTGACACGTGACAATATAAAGTTCGACCATCATCAGGAGGGCAGCGACAAGCGTGGCGATCGCGTGGTGACGATTCGATCGCTTGCGGAAGAATGCTGGCAGAATGCAGAGAGCAATCACAAGGCGAGCGAGGGAGCCCGACGACGTCCGTCTAGCATGATTATTGTGCATGGAGCATTGGGTAGCGCTCGGATACGTACCGTGTGTTGGCTGGTACAGTAAGGTAGCTGTAGGCTGTCGCGTTTTGAAGGCGGCGGCACAAGTAGCTGGCAGAAGGGCCGAAAGTCGATGTCGACGTTCGACACGCACCCACCCACACTAACGGCAGATGGCGAGATGACACCCAAGCATCCAAGCAGACCAAGCCGCCACTGTGACGGGCCAAGAGGAAAAAGGTGTTGCGTTGCGATGCCGGGGCGAAGAAATTCAAGAAAGATGATGGACAGACCTGTGACCCCACCTCTCTCCGGCTCGCTCGCTGCATCCCGTCCGCTCCCGCTGTGCTACCACACTACCTACTTTTCTCCACGCCCCCGCCCTCTCCACCAACTCTTCCTCCACTCTCCCACCACATCCAACACTTTCACCACATTCACCATGGACGACCGTACCAAGACCATGTGTGGCCGCGCCCCCGATTCCCACAAGCTGCTCAGCAATCTTTAAATGACTCGACTCCATTGCCCGCCAAGTTCAGCCAAGTACCACCAACAACGGTCGCCGTTGTACACTCGAGACCACAATACATCATAACACTGCCGTCCGACTCCGATCAAACATTCTCATACTTACCCATTTACTCGCCTCGTCTCGTCGAAACGAGTCCACTCCCACAACACCGCCACCATGAGGTTGCCCTGCTTCTCCAGAAGCCCGACACTCGAGGCAGCCGACGCTGCCCCGCCTCGCAAGAGGACCATTAACCGTGCATCGACCGCCGAATCTGCTCGATCGACCGCTTCTCGCGCCAGCACAGCCTCGAATTGGAGGTGAGTAATGCCATGTCCAAGTAATTCTTTGCGCATCCCGTATTCATCATCTCGCAGCATCTCTCGACTGCCACCCTGCAAGCGAGACTCGGACGCCAAGGTCGAAGCCATGATGATGCCCCTTCCTGCAGAGCCAAGAGCCAGTCGGTGCTTGCGCCTCAGCCAGCCAAAGACTTACAGCAACATTGTCCACTCCATGAAATCCGAACGAGGAAGTCGCGACTGGAAGAGTTTCCCCGTCTTCCCGGACGATGAAGTCGACATGGCCGATTCCGCAAACGAGCGAGCACGACGAAAGACCGTGGAACATGCCCGGAAGATGCGCGCATTCAGCAGCTTCACCGACCAACAACACCGCGATCCTCTCGATGCAGTCGATATGATCGGGTGAACAAGAAGCATTTGCCGTCTTTCGAAGCAATGGAGCCGTTCGGACGGCTGTCGCTTGTTGGCGCCAAAGTCGTGCGTTGGTGGTACACCGGCTTCGGGAATTTCCTCAGCCTTCCTCGGACTCCGGAGAACATCACTTGCATAAGAACACCACCATCCCTCCTCCAACAACATTCTTTTTTCTTTTCTTCTTTGGATGCTCGAATAAACTCTCATCATCCTGGATCGACGACCCATACACATCATTACTTTCGACGCTGATGGACTTTCCTCCCCCGCGATCATCCAGGTCGAAGAAGAACAAGAACAACAAGGCGACTCATGGCGGTGCGGCATCGTCTCCGGAATCCGAAATCGACATTCAGAAGAAGTTGAAAGCTTTCTACAATATCGACCTCACGCCGCCGGAGAGACTGCAAATACCTGAAGCCCGGCTGGCTGCGACGCTTCCTTCTCCGCCTCGGTCACGACAGCGACCACCATCGAATGCAAGCTCCAAAGCAAGCGCAACGTCTTCGGACTCGAGCTCGAGCGGTGGCCGAAAGCGACCGGCGCCATATGATGGTCTCTTAATGCGAGAGTCTGATCTTCCCGTCGACCCGGAATGGAATCTCCGCCATCAAGCAGCTCGTCGTCGCGTCAAAAGGTTCATCTTCGAGAATTTCGATGAGGTCGATTGGAGATCCTGTCCGACGGTCGAAGAAACATCGTTTCAGCACAAGACGCTATGGCATCGGCGCGATCTTCGGTGTATTGCTTCGCCGCATTACTTGCATGGGATTGCGAACGGCTGGCATCGGCCTTCGTACGACTCCTCGCTTTCGGGGAGCGATGTCCTCACCCCTGAGGAAGACATGTTCGATATGATCGGATGAACATCTTGCCACATTTCCTGGCAAATTGAAATTTTTGCGCATGACGCGCGGTCTGCAGACCCGATGAGGGCTGTGGAAGACACGATACGACAGCACTGGCCTCGAAGAAGGTCAAGAAGCGGATTACAGCACTGGGGCGTCCTGGAATGTACCCTGAGCGATCTTTTTGAGAAGCGTTCCAAGCGATAGCGTTGTAGACCATGGCTCTTTGGATGAGTTCCATTTTTTGGGGATTGTACATGGCGCGTGAAATAGACCAAGCTCATGAACGACTACCAAAATGTCTCACGTATTCTCTCTTTGACAGTTTCCATCGCTGCGTGACTGTCGAGCCCCAAAGATCACCCCAAAGATCAACATTGCGCCCGAGTCGTTTTCGGTTGATCTTTACAAAGCTTGGCCCAAGCTCAAGTTGGACTTGTCGACTTCGACACCTCACTTCACCTTAGCCACCACCACACACCCACACCACACAGCACACAGCACACAGCACATCCACGATGCTCTCCCGACCGCGCTTCGGACCTCTGTCGACCCTCCGATCCCTACCCAAACAACGGCCCAATGCCCTCGCCCGCCGCACCCTCATCGCCGCCCCGCGCCCCGGCTCCGGCCCCCTCATGCAACGCCGCCCGGACCGCGCCCTCCCCCCGCTCCTCACCCCCCTAACCTCCCGCACCTGGCTCACAACCCTCCCCCTCTTCCTCCTAATCTGCACCGCCTCCGCGCTCGCAATTTTCAACTACCAGAAAACCTCCTCAAGCGTCGTAGCCAGCACGCTCTACGCGCTGCGCACCAACGCGCGCGCGCGCGCCCTCCTCGGCGACGAGGTCTATTTCGCGTCCCAGATCCCGTGGATTCACGGGGAGATGAATCAATTGCAAGGCAGAGTGGATGTGTGGTTTTGGGTCAAGGGGACGCGGGGCAGGGGGGTTATGAGGTTTCGGAGTGAGAGGGTTGGGGGGCGCATGGGGCGGTTTGAGACGCTGGAGTGGAGTTTGGAGGTTGAGGGGGCGGAGGGGGGGAGGATTAGTCTTTTGGAGGATGGGGATCCGTTTGCGAAGCAGGATGGGGGGCAGGGGGATGGTGGGGCGTGATTGATTGAGGAGATGAGAGGAGATGAGATGAGATGGGATGTGATGGGATGAGATGGGGGATTTGGAGATATGTCGTGGATGGTTAGCCGGGCGGACTCGGGTGCGTGCGTCCTGTCTGTCTGTCTGCCTGGGAACGGAATGGACGTCGTTTGAAACGGGGAGGGAGGACTTCCGAGGGCATCGTCGCAACAGGAAGGACATCCCAAGCTCGGGCTACTCGAACGAACGACTTGCGTTATGCGCCTCGTCGATCATGAAGACCTCCCGGGAGCCAGCAACCGAGATGCGCACTCCCGCCTACTCAACAACGAGAAGTCCACATGGCGTACTATGCTCTCTGCAGCCTTGAATCCGCTCTCTCTGAGACACCTGCAGGCTTGGTGCTAGGGTGGGTGGAGGAAGACTTCGATCATTGCCCCATACTTTGATACTGGGAGGAATGGAAAAACCCGGTACACACAGATCACTTTTGCACTGCGCAGGGGGCTCGTTCGGCAGAAGACTCGACTCCACCACTCTGCAAAAGATATGTAGCAGACCTACCTTATACGAAGGATGTATATGACCACGTTAAAAAAATCCAACCTTTTTTGCCCGATTTGCTTTTCACAATAAACTGGAGAAATGAAATGAAATGGGGCGGGCCATGGCATGCTTGCTTGCTTGCTTGCTTCTTGCCTCTTTTTTTCCTTTATTTTTACAAAACTCTTTTTTTTTGGGGGGGGGGGGGCCAATAATGGGACAATTTCACGCAGCCATATCACAGTAAAAAAAAAATTTCATTCTCTACTCAATGTTTATGTTGTTGGGGAGAAAAAGCCCCTTCCTCCTTCCTCCCTCCTGCCTCCTGCCTCCTCTCCTCCCTATGCATACCTTACGACAGAGTACCTACACACTCCACGCAACCCGTCCTCCTCCTCCTCCTCCTCCTCCTCCTCCTCCTCCTCTCTCCCTCTCTCTCTTACTCCCCACCGCTATACCACGGCTTCTTCCCATGCACCCCCGCCCCTCCGACGACAGGAGGATACAACAACCCCAACCCCAGCATCCTCACATCTTCATCCCGGGACCGGGCCCACGTGCGGATCATCTCGAGCGTCGCAACCCTGCGCGGTCCCCCCGCAGGCGGCGGCGACCCGGATCCGGACGCGGACCATGTGAGCATACGAAACGCGAGATCGAAATGCATAAAATCCGCCGTGCTCTCGGGCGTGGTGGTGGTGGTGGTGGTGGTGGTGGTGACTTTGGAGTGCAGCGCCAGAGCCAGGAGCATCAGATCTTCGGGTCGGAAGCGCAGGGTTTGGGTGTATTGGAGGAGGTGGCGGTAGCTGTCGTGGTAGAGGCGGGTGGGGCGCTCGGGGGAGGAGGATGTGAGGTGTTGGAGGAGGAGGGAGAGGCGGGTCGCGATGGGGGCGAGGGAGGAGGAGGAGGATTGCCCTCCCTCTCCTGGCGGTCCGTGGAAGGTTAGCCATACCCGTTGAGGCAGGGGATCCGGTAAGACGGCAGGTTTTCGGTGAGGGTTTTCTCGCCATGCTTTCGACGAGCGGAGGGTGTCGATTTCGTCGATGATTCTCTCCAGGACGGGTCGGCAGTGCTCTGCCCAGGTTTCTGAGGGTCTGGTGGCGAGGTCGCAGGGTTTGAGGTCTCCGATGAAGCGGGTCCAGCTGGTGTAATTTGGAGTCTTGATTGTGCGGAGAAGGATGTGGGCTTGTTGGAGGACGACGGATTGGATGTGGTTGTACTCTACAGTCGGGAAATGAGGGTCATGGTGAGGTTTTCGTTGGAGAAGTCTGGCTGGTGTGGCTTTGTCGTTATGCCAGAGGTTTCCGGGTCCCTTTCTCCAGAGCGACAGCCAATGTTGACCTGCGTTGGAAGACTGCAGTTTCGCGTCTCCCGATATCACCTTGTTGAGTGCCTCCAGTTGTGGCGATGGCTCGCAGTTGGCGGCAAATACTCGCAGGTATTGATCTAGGACTTCCTTTGTGCAGTAGCCATTGTTGCCCAGGAGCTCAGACAACAAGACCGGTTTCACAGGACAGGCGGGAAACTCGATCGGGGAGGTACCAAGGTGCTTGAAGAAGCCTTTGAGCCATCGCTGGTTGTTTCGGATCGATTCCTCCAGGGTAGGATAGAGCACTTTTGTCGCGAGTACTCTTCTGACCCATTCACGATGTTTCTTCTCGTCCATCGCAGCCGCGCACACGGCGGACAATAGAGGTGGTAGTTCCCGTGGTGATCGCTCCATGTATACTTCCGGCATCTCTGCGAAATCGGTCCTCTCAAATTCTCGCCATTCATCCTCCGTCAAGGGTCGGCGTTCGTCGAGGCTGGCCATGATTGGCACAACCTTCTGCTCCAACATGTCCAACACGCGAACTTTGAGATCGTCTTTCTCAGTCGTGGCAAGAATATGGAGCAAGCCTTCCACGACGGCTACACGAATGTCGATGTGCCTGCTGCCTTCAAAGATCTCGGCCAGGATCTGTGCTGTGGTTGTTAGATCCACGAACATGGCGTCCACGAGGAGCTGAGCTAACATCTTGACAGTAGTGACCTTGACTGCAGGTGCGCCTTCGCCGTCGCCGTCGCCGTCACTACGACTGTGCTGGACCTTGACTATCATTGACCTGCTGAGACTCTCCAAGAACGATTTGACCGTGGCCTGAGGGAGGAAGCCTAGGAAGCCTTTCCTGAGGAGACTGCGATGCCAAGAACTATTCTGGGGCTGATCTAGGATCGTTTCCTGGATGATATCGAGGGCAAACTGAGGTCTATCGCATCGAGTGAGGATTCGGAGAAGAGCCAAAGCACGTCTATCGCTGTTGTCGGCTCCCAGGACCTTCCTTGTGAGCTCGAGAAGCAATTGCGGTGGCGTCTGATCCGAGAGCCACTCCAATGCCGAAATGGCTTGATATACGCTATTCTTGACATCTGGCTGCTCCAAGAACTCTTCGTCGAGATAGAGAGCCGGAAATCTTGGGTGGACAGTTGAAGGGAATGGTTTTGATAGGATGCCGGGACATTTTGTTTTCTCGCTCACACAGAGCAAAGAAGCTGCGATGAGAGCTTCCTGCGTCGCTGGTTTGATACTCATCTTCGAGTACCGTTTTACATGTCGCTGCCAGAGATTCGTGCTCACTGTCTCATAAACGCTCGCAGTCTTTGATAGCCTCTCTTCCATGTTCAAGCCATGTTGGGCCAGCATGGCATCCAGGACAGTAACTTCCAATGCCCGCGTTTTGAGCCCTGTGCGTCGTCCTTCCGGATCTGGATGCCATTCAATTGGTTGATCTTCGTCTTCCATCTCTGGTAAACGCGGTTCTGGGGCTTGTTCGAAGAGGTTTCTCGTGTTCCAAGGACCCTTCATTTCTTGGAACGGGCTGTTGTTTTGCCAGACATGCTGCCAGAATTGCGCGGCTTCGAGAGAAGACATGCGAGGTCGTGAGAGGGGTCCAGTGGCATGCTTCCATACCTCAACTGCTCTTTCGTACCTCTCTGACTTGGGATGCGTGTATAGATATGCGCGAGCTGCTGTTGCCCAATTATCCATGAAGACGTCCACGGAATCTTTGACGTCTTCGAATTTCGAAAGTGGGAGCAATGCGTGGTGCGAATCGATAAACACAATTTGCTTAGCACGCTCCCGAAGAAACGGCAAATCGTAGAAATCGAATTCGTCTTTGAAGTCACAACTGTTCAAATGCTGTATCGCCAGTCCTCGTGGAAAGTTTTCTGGCAATGTCATTGTTTCAGGATGGCGCTTCTGGCGGTGCTCTACCCACATGCCGTTTCGAAGTCTTGCAAGTGTATCCAGGAACTTGAGGGTGGATTCTGACATATGTGGTAGCCGGCAGAGCGAAGACAAGATGCCTTCTGGATCGTCTAATCCCAGTTCAGAACTACTCTCAAGCAGGCCAATGGATTCCAGCTTGAAGACTGTGTCGATCGTGGGTTGCCACACAATATCGAACAGAGAAGACTCGTCCAGTCCCGTCTTCTTCTGCAAGCGGTGAAGAGAGTTGATTCTCTTCTGCACCACTTCGTCCAAGAGTGTCATGGCATCTTTCCAGTGGTACGCTTGAAAGCCCGGATCATTGAGAGCCATTCGTGCCGTCTCTACCAGATCCTCACATATTCGATTCGCCTTGTGGACGTCGCGGCATACCTGCTCAGCAGTAGATGAACCCAAGTCGCCCCACGCAGAGGAAAATCCACAAAGCAACTCGATCCCTTCGTCGGTGCAAAGGCTCCGAGCGGCGTAGATTTTCATACTTGTGAGTGGATCCTTGATGTACCTTCTCGTCCAAATCAGAGCATCGCGATAAAAGTCAAGAGAGCCAGATGCCACGGCACAATCGAGCGTCCGCTGCACAAGAGCAGCCCTTAACTCCTGCTGACGGGCTTTGTACGCTTTTTCTTTGATCTCTTCGACAGCAGTAGACGCCATTCTCAGACCATCATCGTCGCCCCTTGAGAGTAACAAGAGCAGGCAGGTAGGATCACCGTCATGCTGTTTTGAAAGCTCGTGTCCGTTTGGGCGCCAATTCCCATAGGTATCGTTCGGCTTGAGTTGAATGAGTCGCTCTAACAACTGTCGAGCCTTCTGTCTAGGAAGCAGCAAAAGTAGGCCAGGTGACCAGCGGAAGGGGATGTGCGTCAAATCCTCGTCGATGTCAATATCGGCTGCAGTGTTCGTCCTCTTCATCAAGAGCCGAAGGAATTCATAACGTCTTTGCATTGACACAAGTCTGAGCAAGTCCTCTGCTGTTTTCTCATTCGGCTGATGCGAGAAGGGGGCAGTATTCAGAATCCGCTCGAGCGAGACTTGCAATGCATCTGGATATCGGGCCCATCGATGGACTATTGTATACAGAACGTACTTCTCAGGTAGGCTCGCCAGGTCTTTGCCCTTTGATACCAGATGCCAGCGATAGTCGACGAACAGGCGCACTGCTTCTCCAACTGTCTCTGCGTCGCTCTTGCGCCGACGCAGTCGTTGGAATAGAGGGCCTATGACCGTGGAGTGGATGATTCCGTGGTCCAACCCAATAAGGTCAGCATCCTGACAGATCTTTCGGAGCACATCCATCAAGAATAGCAGGTGTGACGGAACGGAGTTGTCAAAAGTACTGCTGCGGCCTCCGATATCAAGTTGTAGTAATCTTCGAAGATTGTCCTTTGCTTTCGGCGATTCCGGTTCTTTTGCGATGACATCTAAGCATTGCAGTCGCGCGGCTGAGGGAAGTGCGCTGAACACGTAGATTGAAGCATCGCGGTCCAGTCTTGTCCAGTGTTGGGACCAGAATGTGAGTGCAAAATCCGGACAGCATGCACCGAGTAGCTTGTGATGATATTGCGCCAGAGGCCGTTGATCATTCGTCTTCACTTCCGAGTCTGGGCAGAGCTGGGAATCTAGGGCCTTGAAAAGTTCCTCGACGTATCGTTGACGCTGCTCACGAGCATAGGTCGACGATCCTGTCTTGTAGATGCTACGGCAAAAGCATTTGACGTCGTTCACAGAGGCGCCATTAAGGAATTCCAGGATACCAGCGGTGCCACCAAGGGCGGTCCAAGCAAGCTCGGCACGAGAAGTTCGAAGCCATCGTTTGCAATGCGAGATGGCCGCCAATCGAACATACCGGGAAAAGTCCTGTCGCACGCCGTCGTTCACGACGTCGGGATCATTGCTTGCCGTTAGCCAGATCCCAAACACACGCGGTGGAAGAGCCCCAGAATCGATACCCTTCAGAAGGGTATTGGTGATGCCCTTGGTGGTTGAGTGGGAAGCTGCATCCCGGAGATACTTGGCAAGATCTTTGGCCTCGCTGGTGCGAAGCGTCGGAAAGTCCATGGTACAGAATGCGAAATTAGGCAGAAAAGGCGAGTTTTTAATCAACCATTGCCAGGTGTATGACACGTCTCGGTGTGCAGAAGCAGTTCACCGCATTTGTCTGCCTGGTTTGAGTCACTCACAGGTCGATGCGTAGAGTCGCCGACTGTACATGCGGCATGAGACAGCATCCACTTCGATGGCCAATGAGTTAGGAAGTCCACCATCAATAGGTCCGAGGAAGGATGGGTAGTCTTGCTGCCATCACGAGGGTGCAATTATTGGCCCGGGCATTGAGACCAACTGCGAGGCGGTGTCGACAAGAGGACGGAGGTGAAGGCGAAGGATCAACAGGCAGTGTGTGAAATCCGAAACCGAGACTTCCAGACCTGGCTGCCATGACGAGGGGACATGGGAAATGTTTTGAAGGAAGTCCTACGAGCCATCAGCTATCGAGAGAGCTCGTTACTGTTCCAAGGTGCGGACGAGCTCGATATTCATTGAGACGTAAGTCTGAAAGTTCTCCATGTTCGCAGCACTGGGTGCGTACCACCACGGAGTCAAGACTTCTGCACTGTCCTCGGCCTCATCTTTGACGGCAATCCCAATGCTTGACAATCGGTTCTTCTTTTACTCTCCAAAGCATTCGGTTATAGTCCGAGTGAGAAAGAGTAAGAAGGCGGCGAGGATGAACGCGAGGTTTCCGTGCATCGGCGCGCGTCGATGCCGATGCGGAGGCGGGAGGAGCGAGCCGCGCCTAGCGCAAGCGTGAGTGAATCTCCAGACTCGAACTTCGCGCCGACCACTATTCCTGTTTGCTGTGATAATAATGGCAAAGCACAAGAAGCGGAAGCTTCATCCAGAACTCAAGAAGGCGTCCAAACCGCATTCGCAATCGAGACCAGCAAAGGCCACGAAAGCGAAGCAACCCGAACCGACAATTCCCTTCCACGCCGAAGACCGCATTCTCCTCATCGGCGAAGGCGACTTCTCGTTCGCAAAGTCAATCGTAGAGCACCACGGCTGTTGCGACCTAACAGCAACATGCTACGACTCACAGGAGGAGCTGTTTGAGAAGTACAGGCCGCAAGCAGAAGAGCACGTCAGATATCTCGAAGATGAAGGGCAAGTGGTACTTTATGGCGTGGATGCCACGAAATTGGACAAGGCGAAAGCCTTGAAAAAAGGAGGGCAACTCTTCGATGTGATATTTTTCAATTTTCCGCACGTTGGCGGGAAGAGTACAGATGTCAATCGGCAGGTGCGCTCCAACCAGGAATTGCTGGTGAAGTTCTTCGGCTCGGGTACATCTCTGCTGGCGGAGAGGGGTACCATTGTGGTAACGTTGTTTGAAGGCGAGCCTTACACTTTGTGGAACATCAAAGATCTGGCGAGGCATAGCGAGCTAGAGGTGCAGCGGAGTTTCAAATTTGTCGCCGATGCGTACCCGGGCTACAGCCATGCTCGAACTCTTGGGAACATTGAAGGCGGCGGAGGTTGGAAAGGTGAGGATAGGGATGCCAGAAGCTATATATTCCGGAAGAAAGGTGCTGGAAAAGCGCTCGCGCCAATGCAGAAACGGGAGCCGATTGGAGAGAAGAGGAAGCGGAGCAGTGGTGACAAAAGCTCTGACGACGAGGGTTGAAAGGGCAGACGGTGCACACCTGGTAACATTCTTGAGCCAATCCATCCTGACTTCTGATCTGGGTAGCAATGCTCGGAGAATCATGAGCCTGGCCATGTTAGACTAAGGAGGGCTCGGATGTCGTCTGGACTGCATGGCGCCCCGTGGATGTCCTATCCATGAGCGAGTGGTTCTACTGTTGCGGAAGCAATCAAGCTTTCCAAGCCGGCGCAAACTGCCATATGTGCGGCCAGGATGCGCTCTGAAATCTTTGTGGCAATCCAAATTTGGAGGCAATGAGCACACGCTTCAGGCACGAAAGGCTGCGTCCGGTATGGATGAACAGACTGAAGTCTTCTGGCACCAGCAACTCGCGAGAAGCAAGAGATGCACATCTGCTGCTGCTGCTGCTCTCGTTGTCATTCTGCGTATCGTTGTACGAGTAGAAAAGGGAAGGAAAAGATTCGCCAGTGGACTATTCGGTCGACCTCTTCTCTGGGACAAGATCTCTCTCTCTCTCCGTATTCTTTCAGAGGCGAAAGTCGTATCTCAAAGCTGGGAAGAAGCAAATGCTACCGTGGAAAGGGGGCTGGCTATCCATCAAACGCATCCTCATCCTGCTAGTTGTCAACCCTAGCTTTCTCACCATCAATCTCGAAGCTGATCGCAATGTTTGTTGTTGCAAGATTCGAGTTGACGGCTAGAAATCTGGATTAGAGCCTGTCCAAAGCAAAAGCGTATCGAAAGCCCAAGAGTTTATTGTGTGCCGAATTCTCGTTGGTCAGGGCATTTCGCGTGCTGCCAGCAGGAACCCCAACACCGAAGCCCAAAGCTCAGGATAGCCATAGCCACCTTGATCACATTCTCTACAACCACTACCGCCATGGAACCTAATCCTCTCGCAGATCTTCACCATCACGCAGCCCGTAAGATTCTTGCTTCCACTGACACGGCGCCCGCCAAAAGCCCCCGTCGACGAACAAGCGCTTCTCGAATCGATATCACAACGCTGTCTCACACACGACGAGAAGATCAAGTCAGACCGCTTCAGTCTACCTCCTACCGTATCTCTCAGCACCTATGCCATGAAGCTACAAAGCAACAGGGGCCTTTGGGATGTTGAGATCGATACGGAGCCCAACTCACGATGACAAGCCTCTCGATGTTTGCAGACGGTTGACGTTATCGGATCTATCTCGTCAAGGAGCCCCAACATAGCTGGTTTCTGCTAGGGTCCTGCGGAAGACAGTAACGTTTCGCTGGGATAATACACTGTGTTCAATCCAGAGGAGAGGTATGCCCCTGACTTGTGTTACCCGTACGGCGTTTTAGTCGAAGCTTATGGCGTCCAAAGAGAATGTCTAATCTCTAAGCTGCTTTCTCTCACAAATCGGTCTTCTCAGACTCACATCATCTTGTTTGTCCGAATCAATATCTACTCTTATATCATCGGCCAATATGGGCAAGAAAACAGAGTACGTTAGCCCTCGTTGTTGAACGCGAAAGCATGTATCCTAACATTTTCCTAGAAGCAAAGATATCTACATCGCTGTTACCGGTACCACAGGAGCGGGCAAATCCGAATTCATTCGTCTTTGCACTGGTCAAGATGTGGTCGTCGGTGATGACTTGCAATCCCGTGAGTTACGCTTTTAGAAGCACCAGACCATGATAATCTGACATCTTCCCAGAGACGTCCGAAGTCGAAGATTGGACGTTCTACTGGAACCGCCGCACTCGTGTTCATTTGATCGATACGCCAGGCTTTGATGACACGAACAGAAAAGATGTCGAAGTCTTGAGAGACATTGCGAGCTGGTTGGTTGTGACCGCGCGGCAAGATATCCTTCTCAGCGGCTTGGTGTACTTGCACCCTATTTCCGACAATCGCTTCCGAGGCTCTGCCCTTCGTAATCTCTTCATGTTCAAGCAGCTCTGTGGAAGTAGCTGTCTCCCTAGCATCGTGTTGGCCACGACGATGTGGGATATAGTGCCAATTGAAGACGGAGAGAGGCGTGAGGCTCAGTTGCGTTCGACAAAGGGATTCTGGGGCGAAATGGAGAAGGGAGGAAGTCGGGTGATGAGACATAAGCGGACTGAGGAGTCGGCCATGGCCATATTGGACGCCATCATATCACACAAGCATCCTCAAATGCTCAAAATCCAGCGCGAAATGGTCCATGAAAGACGCAGCTTGGATCATACTTCAGCCGGGCTCAAGGTCCACGAGGATCTCATCGAAGCCGGGTGGAAGCATGAAACAGAGCTGGCTGCTTTGCAGGAGGACATGAACAAGGCAGACGAGGAGTCTCAACAAGTCATCGCGACCCTCATGGATGAGCAGCAACAGGAGATGGCAGAGAACGAGAAAGCCCGCGAAAGGCTGAAGACGGACATTGAAAGCCTCGAGGCCGACCTTGTCAGGGAAATGGAGACTTGGCACGCCAAGCTAAAGGAGCAAATCAGTCAGTGCTTGCGCAAGGAGGCGACGATGCGGGCGCTCCAGCAGCGATGGGAAGAATGGGACCGGCAGAGCGTTGTTGATCTAGAGCAGAAAGAAGATCTGCGGAAGCAGCTCGATGACTTGCGTGATCAGCAGGGAGAGGATAGGCAGCGGCTGAAAGACGATTGCGAAAAGGCAAGTCGTAGGAATCCCGGTAGGCAGCTGAACCATTGTGTTTCAGCAGTATCCCAGCTAATATACCTATTCAGGTTCCAACAGATTCCAAGTAATCATCCAGTTCTTTTCCAGACTGTTCGGTTTCTGAGGTTTGATTGCGAGCACATCCGTAGCTTTTGGAATCCCTTTGGGTTTTAGCTGCTGCAGTCAATGAGCGTTCACACCTGATCCTGCGCCGGCCCAGTTGTTTTTCCTGAATGCATTTCCCTGCTGCTCCATCCCATCGTGTTCAGCAAAGAAGTCCTCATGATGTTCTCATCGACCATCCCTGGATAATCCTGAGCCACTTCGACGGGATCGACTTAGCTGTATCCGGGCAGCTGTAGGAACGACCCATTGCTGTGTTCGTTGCTGAATTAAAGAGACGAGGAAGCCAGAAATTGGAGACAAAATAGAGGTATGATGGGCTGACTGTTCTAGTAGCAACAAAGCGGTGACATGTTATGAGACAGTTGGCCCTCGAAATTACCAGCGAGCGCTGGGCACAAAGCTCAAGGTTTCAACTGCAAGTTTACTTTTGATAGTCGTACATACCCGCACTGGTGACTTGAAGCCTCCCAGCTATGGTCATTCTATGTTTGCTGTGCGTTTCAACTGCCCAGCTCTCCCAGGATGTTGGGAGATCGGCCGATCTATGCGTCAACGGCCTTGATTGCCATCTCCAAAGCTCCCTCGAACGTCTTATTGCCGCCAATGAATCCGCCTGCGTGAACAAAGATGCAACCCGGGATGCCAGTCAGCTGGCTCAGCTCATCGTCTCGCACACCTCGCCAAGCTTCTGGCAGACCCTTGCGGTTCTCGAAGCTGCCAGGCTCGAGAGACACTGCTCTGATCCGCCACTTGCTGCCGACCTCGCCGTTCTCCGCGAAGAGCGCGTAGAGGATCTGACCTTGGCAGCCGTTCTCCTCCTCCAATGCGTACAAGTGGTCGCTCCAAGGCACGCCCTCTGGCCGATGCGGGATGACGATGATACGTCCAGTCTTGTCCAGTGCGTCTCGCGAGTTGAAGGCTTGCGTAACGATGGCTCGGGCGGGGAGCCATGAGGTGAACTTATCTGAAATCTCAAGTGAGAACTGCTCTCCGACGAACGCAGATGCACGTAGGAAACGAGCATCCTCCTCATCTTGGGTCTTCTCTTTCTTGCCAGCCGCAGGTGCAGCTCCATTCGTGACACCATCTGCAAGAGGCGTGATAGGTGCGTTGTTGTATCGGCCCACCACGCCAGCGAGGCTAAAGCCCTTGTCCGAGAACTTCTTCTCAATGCCCACCTTGCGCAGCTCTTGCGGATCATAGACGGAGATGCCATTGTCGTTGCCATCGAATGCCTCAACAAAATCCTCGTACAGCTTCTGGTATAGCAGCTCATTGTCTGCACTTTCCACATCTAGCCCAGTAACGGCAGAGACGATCTTCTTGCCATAGTGCATCCAAACCAGTCCAGCAGACGAGAGCTTTGTGTGCTTGCCTGGGAAAGTGGCATTGAACTCACGCTGGTGGTGGTCGTAGCGGCGAATGCTGTCATCATGGACACCACCGACGTCTACGACAATGTTGCACTCCTTCAAGACTTCTGGGTCTCTGCTGCGGACGAGCGACGCGTTCTGGTATTCGGGCAGCAGGCGGAGGAGGTAGACAGCGAGGGCTTCGTCAGCGTGGAAGTGGCCGTTGTGGGTGCCGATGACTGGAGCTGCGGTGCCGTCTGCCATCTTGACTCTCTTCGCGGACGGTTCGGACATAAAGGTAGCTCGTTGCAAGGTGGTGTTTGCGAGTCGTGTGTTGGTGTAGCTGGTCGCTCCTGTCTCCAGAAAGAATGGCCCTTGGAAAGAGTGAGATGATCTCCCGATGATGTAGCTTTTCTGTGCCAACTGTCTTCCCAATCGAAGTCGGAGGGCGTTCATATGATGTCGGATGGTCTTGATGTTCGGGATGTGATGTGAGATGGAGCTCCAATCAGGGTCTAGCGAAATCTCAGCCGGATTCCGTGCTACCCGAGGATCGGCCCGCTGGACCCTGAATTCTTGGCTTTTTTCACGTGCGCTCCAGCCGACATGCGATCCGGCCGACGTGTCCTGGAACGAGCACGACGACGTGGGTGGCTGCACAACACATTCACGTCGTCACCATTTCCATGCTTTCAACAACGCAAAACCTGGAAATGGCTCGCGTGTGGTAGCTGCTGCCGCGCACGCGATTGCAGCTGCACAGCTTTGCGGTGGTGGTTGAGGTGGTCCTGCCGGGACAAATCACGAGCCAACCAAGTGCCAAGTCGCTGCATATCTTTGCGCAGCACGCGACACTCCTCTGAGAGCTCTCTGCTTTGCCCGGCGACTTCACTCCTTCTGTCGCTCCTGCTGGCGACTGTGACTAGTCCTGCCAGACCGCTACGACAACACCTTCGCCGACGCCGAACCGCACGGTAGTGGGCCGGCCCAGCGAACTAGTGGGTCCTCGACTTTTCCCACACCACCTCAGCAAGAGCGGTCAACCAGCTCCTAATTTCTCACAACAACACTCCTTCCAACCGCATACACCCGCGAGTTCCTTGACGACGAGACCGACCCCGACGCGCTCGAGAGTGGTTCAACCCAAATACGCGCAGGCGCGGAGCGCCTCGAAACACCATCTCTACAGCCCGTACATCAATACACCCAAGGATGCTTCTCCGCTTCCTGGGGAGCACGCTTTTCCTTTTCTCAATCATCTTCACCATCCCCCTCGCCTTCGATGTCGGCGGACGCACCTGCGGCTTGGCCTTCAGTCTGAGCCTCGCAACCTACTACTTCTTCCTGTCTATCCTACGACTTGCAACGCCCGCTCAGTCAACCTGGAGGAAGGCGGCCGTACGCACCGTCGCTTCGATGCAGACGCTTGTCATACCCGCGCTGTTGATCTGGAGTTTGAACAAGTTCAGCGTCGACGGGGGTGATGATGCGAGTTGGGTGTCAAGAGCTTTCTACAACGCGACCAAGCCACTACATCAAAATCCAAGCTTCAAGGAATGGATCTTCGGGAAAGAAGGTCTACTGGAAAACGCGCTGGTAGGAGGATGGGACAAATTGCTAAGATACTCGACGCCCGTCTTTCAGCTCACTGAAGGCTTCTGCAGCTTGCTGGTCATCCAAGCCTCCGGCCAAGTAACCCGATACCTTGTCAACACCAGCGATAATGGCGATAGCTGGATGATTGGACTGCTGGTGGTCTCGAGCAGCATTATTGCCAGCTCTGTCTACTTCCTCTGGCGTATCACGACGTTCCCGGGTCTGGACAGCCAGGACGCCGTTTTGATCGGTATCGCTATTGCCTGTGCTGTCTTCCTGGCTGCCTGGGGCATGGGGAGCGGGCGCGGAAACGTTGTGGAGAGCAGCATGTTGTTCGCATACATCACACTCTGCATATATCAGATCTTCACGGATTACCAGCCAAGTCACCCACTACCGGAAGCTCCAATACCACCAGATGCCACCGAGTTCCCGCCTCTACCTCCGATTCTCATGGCCAGCTATACAACGATACTGCAAGCACTGTCTTCGCTACCAAGCACTCTGCACTCGGCGTTTGGATTCATGCTGGCGGCCGTTCAGACGGTGACGCCGTCGGTCATCATCTCATTGATCTACCGACTGATGGTTCTCTATGCCGCAGCTCGTATCATCCCTGCAGTGCGGGAGTCGGGGGCCAGAGTGTTGGCGGAGGATCCGTCGCTTGAAGATTCCAGCGAGGGCGTGCAGACCTTGATAGGGCTGCTGAGCTACTTTGCTCCCAGCATCCTCATTGCGGTCTATACGAGCTTACTGATGCAACACTTTGCCAGCGCGTCGGCGGACCATCCCGGCGAGTGGTGGACGAGCCAGGGCGGCGAGGGCGGAGGTAATATCAGTCGCTGGGCCAACCTGGCCGGGACCATGGCGCTGTATGCCGTCGAGCTGTACCTGGGCAAAGGACACGATGATGGGTTGACGACGCACTGGAAGCTGGATTGAAGAGATTGAAGGCTGGAACGGAGCGAAATGAGGCTGGCCGCAGAAGAAGAAAGATGCTGCACATATTGGCAGCCAAAGGCTTTTCCGGACGAAGCAAGAACGGATCCCTTCACAACTCACGCTTGATGCTTTCGTGGCACAAACTCACGCACCCGAGCAACGCGTTACGGAACCTTTGCAGGCATCTGCATCGTCCGACATGCGTCCCGGGCGTGTGGCGCTTTGAAGCAGAAGGTCTGCACGTGCGTTGAGAGTGTATTTGTTGGCGAAGGAGATATGTGTTGCGTGATATATCAGGCGGAGACACGGACGCACGGAAGCGATAGCCTAGGATTGGTTGGCTTACGGATGGAGCTGTCTCTTGGCAGCAGCACATGGGTCGTGGTGGAGAGCGAAGCTGAGGCAGCATTACATAGCAGCGTGGACATTGTTGCTCGGTTTGATTGAGTGAACTCGACTCTCTCGGCCAGCAGAGTCACGTTTTGGGAAAGCTGTCGGGGAAACAGAGTGCGAGACAGCGGCTCCGCGAAGGTCGAGACTCGATGAGGATGGTCAGTCCTAGACGTAATGCAGGCCCTTGGTGACATCATATAGCCTGAAGAATGCAGCGCTTATCTGCCGAGGGCGTAGGACGAAACGAGTCCGAACGAGACGCGTGAGTTGAACCATTCACGGTGGCTAGGAAGACGATTAGGTATGCCATCCCGAGTGCCGGCGGGTCCGTCGCTCCAGAGTTTCCCGAAGCGGTTAGGGGGAGCGAGGGTCCCTGATGCTGCGTCAGCGTCGTGGAACCAGTCAGAAGGGCGGATTTGTAACGATGGAGCCGGGGCCCTTGCGTCTCCTCCTACATCTCACATCTCGCTGTGGCTCGCTCGCGGGGTAAGCTACGTCCAGTCCAGCCATGAGGATGAGGGGCACCACGAGATTTATGAGCTGTTTGCCTCACATCCCTCTCCGCCCACGCCGACTCCCACGCCCTCCTCTCACCCTCTCTGATAAACGACTGTTTCCATCTTCGAATCTCTTGCACTCAGAACCCTATCCTCATCTCCAACCCGACAACATGACCGACTCAACAGCAGGCAAGTGCCCGATGCGGTACGCCAACACTGGCGGTGGTGGTACTCGCAACCGCGACTGGTGGCCCACGCAACTGCCCCTCAACATCCTCCGCCAGCACACCGCCGTCACGAACCCGCTGGGCGAGAAGTTCGATTACGCGGCCGAATTCAAGAAGCTGGACTATGGTGCGCTCAAGGCCGATCTGAACAAGTTGATGACCGACTCGCAAGACTTCTGGCCGGCGGATTTCGGCCATTATGGTGGCCTGTTCATCCGGATGGCATGGCACAGTGCTGGCACTTACCGTGTTCAGGATGGACGAGGTGGCGGTGGACAGGGTCAGCAGCGCTTTGCTCCGTTGAACTCCTGGCCGGACAATGTTTCCCTTGACAAGGTATGTTGTCGCTTGTGGCATTGGCATGCTTGATTTCATGGATGGAGTGCTGATGTTGTGTCACTTTTGAACAGGCACGACGACTTCTATGGCCAATCAAGCAGAAGTACGGAGACAAGATCTCCTGGGCGGATCTTTACCTCCTCACTGGCAACGTCGCCCTCGAGTCCATGGGTTTCAAGCCGGAGGGTTTCGCTGGTGGTCGTCCAGATACCTTCGAGTCGGACGAGTCGGTCTACTGGGGCGCTGAGCAGACTTGGCTCGGCAACGAGGACCGTTACTCGCAGGGTCGTGAGGGTTTCGCAGAGGCTGGTGTCGTTGACGGCCAGCAGAGTGACAAGGAGCACAAGGACATCCACTCCCGCGACTTGGAAGAGCCTTTGGCCGCTGCACACATGGGTTTGATCTACGTCAACCCAGAAGGTCCAGACGGCATTCCAGACCCAGTCGCCGCTGCCCGCGACATCCGCACTACTTTCGGCCGCATGGCCATGAACGACGAGGAGACCGTCGCTCTTATCGCTGGTGGCCACACCTTCGGTAAGACGCACGGAGCTGCTCCAGCCGACAACATTGGCAAGGAGCCGCAACAGGCCGGCCTCGAGGCTCAAGGCTTCGGTTGGGCCAACAAGTACGGTCAGGGCAAGGGCCCAGACACCATCACCTCCGGTCTTGAAGTCATCTGGACTGCCACCCCAACTCAGTGGAGCAACAAGTACTTCGAATACCTGTTCAAGTACGACTGGGAGCTTGAAAAGTCCCCAGCCGGTGCCAACCAGTGGGTTGCAAAGACCGACGACCTGATCATCCCCGACCCATTCGACCCCAACAAGAAGCGCAAGCCCACTATGCTTACCACGGATCTGTCCCTACGCTACGACCCAGCGTACGAGAAGGTCTCCCGCCACTTTCTTGAGAACCCTCAGGCTCTCCACGACGCATTCGCCAAGGCTTGGTTCAAGCTGCTCCACCGTGACATGGGTCCTCGTGCCCGCTGGCTCGGCCCTGAGATCCCCGAGGAGGTTCACATTTGGGAAGACCCAATCCCCAATGTCGACCATCCCATCATCAACGACAACGACGTCGCCTCGCTCAAGAAGGAGATCCTTGCCGCAGGCCCATCTGTCACCGACTACGTCCTCGCTGCTTGGGGCTCTGCTTCCACTTTCCGCAGCGGCGACAAGCGTGGCGGTGCCAACGGTGCTCGCATCCGCTTGAACCCACAGAACCGCTGGCAGGTCAACAACCCACAGCACCTCACTCAGGTACTCGGCGCTCTCGAGAAGGTTCAGGACAAGTTCAACGGCGCTGCTTCTGGCGGCAAGAAGGTCTCTCTCGCAGACTTGATCGTTCTGGCAGGTTCCGCTGCTCTCGAGAAGGCTTCTGGCCTCCAGGTGCCATTTGCTCCCGGTCGTGCCGATGCCACCCAGGAGCAGACCGACGCCACCTCCTTCGAGCACCTCGAGCCCAAGCAAGATGGTTTCCGAAACTTCGGCAAGTCCACTCCTCGTGTGCGTGCCGAGCAATACCTCATCGACCGCGCCCATCTGCTCTCCCTCACTGCACCAGAGATGACTGCTCTTGTCGGAGGTCTGCGCACTCTCGGCGCCAACTACGATGGCTCCGGCTACGGAGTCTTCACCTCCCGCATCGGCACTCTCTCCAACGACTTCTTCGTCAACCTACTCGACATGGGCACCGAATGGAAGGCCAACCCTGACCAGGAGACTTACCAGGGCCTGGACAAGAAGACTGGCCAGAAGAAGTGGGACGCCACTCGCGTCGACTTGGTCTTTGGTTCGCACCCTGAGCTTCGCGCCATTTCTGAGGTTTACGCCGGCGCGGGCAATGAGGAGAAGTTCAAGAAGGATTTCGTCAGTGCTTGGGTAAAGGTCATGAACCTTGACAGGTATGACCTGGCGCCGAACGCCAACGTCAAGGGAACTGCCACTAGTGCGCCGAGGTTGTAGATGGTGCAGTGTGAAGTGGGAAGGAAAATGTACATGAGGAATACCCAAATCCGTGATGAAACTGGAAATAGCCGATAGAAAGTGAATGTTCAAATTGAAATGTCGAAAACATCTCCAGTGTGCTTCAGTCTCACGTGCAGACCATGATCTGCTTCCAACTTGGGGTAGACGATATCACTTGGCAGATGAAAATTTCGCTCACACTGCCGTTAATTCGATTTGATGACTGTTCACATGATCTCTGAATTGCCAAAAAAAAAAAAGTAAGACGATTTCAATGCACGAAGTTGCCATCATCTATCATCATCAAAACGGCAAAAAGAAATAATTCTGCATTGCAGCTTCTGTGGATCGAACACAGTACCTCCAGATACCGCACAGTAGTAATTGGTGCTAGTGCTAGAACCGAAGTGAACTTCAGTCTGGCGCTCTCCCAAGTGAGCTAAAGCTGCTATGGGGTTGATGGGGGCGTGATGGTTATGATGTTATATAGAGGTTCAATAGCTGTGGGTGGGGGGAGTGGGGATGTGAGGGATGGGACGATCTTATGGCGTCACTGATTCGGCTTGAGTACATTTCGTGCTTCCTTGTAAGGTAGTATTCGATGCCTTCCCGAAACATACTCGTTTGATTTCGTATCTAAAGACCGAGGAATAATCAATTGAGACATGAAGATCGGGTGCGCTCTCAGCGACAAATTGACGGCGGTGTCAATGAAATTTTAATGAGCTTGATTGAGCTACCTCTCATGACAGATCTTTTGACCCCTACCGAGGCTGCCACGGAAGAAGAGTCACGCCGGCGTTTCCTCGCCCACGGCTGCAAGACCTCACGCAGACCATCCATTTGCCTGCCCAGCCCCATCCGCTGCCGGCCTCAAGCCACGTCCCTCGCCGGCGTCATTTCTTCCGCAGCAGCTTGCATGCATGGAGATAAGGCACGTTCGTTCGTGTGGACTTGCCCGGGAGCAATCCAGGTTGTCTAGGCGAACAGGCCGATCAAGTGGGATTCGCATGGCCTGCGCCAATGTGCTCGAACCAGCCTGGGTAGCACGCATTTCGGGACCACTAGTGCCCCCTTCCACAGCAGTCCTGCCTCTCACCGGATTGTGGTTGACTTTGGGTCTACGGATGGCAGGTCCGCCGCTGGAGCAAACAATGCATCCTCCATGCCATTATCCGCCTCGGAGAAAGAGGGAAAGCGAGAGTTGGGTGACACGGCTTTTTCAGCTCTACTGGAACTGGACCCCCAATCTTGGAGACAAACCTCCACAGATTGGAATTTGCGAATGCCGATCACGCATGTGCTAGCGATGTGTGATGGACCACATCCACCGGGCTCCGAAGCGATGTGATCGTCACACTTGGTATGACCGTGCTACAGCAGAGTATTGTCAGCAGTCACAGCCCCAAGAGCCCCACGGAGTGTCCACGGAGTGGTGCAGTGCAGATCAGCGACAGCATGTAGGCCATAAGAAAGTAGGTCGGCGTCCTCTGGTGGAATCTCCTGTTTAGCCGTTCCTACAGTTGATCTGCCTACACGCTCTGCTGGTCCAGGGTTCCCACGCCATACAGACGCCAGGTCGTCTTCGCTTCTCAACATGAAGCATTTCGCATGCCCTGTTCTACTTGTAGCAGCCGCTGTGGCTGCTCCTGCGCCTGTAACGAAGCGTGGTGGTATTGTTTCACACCTTTAATGACTCCGTCATATTTGGAAAGCTAACAAAACCATATAGAGGTCGCCGAGCGAGCCCCCATTGCCGAAGCTTTTGCAAGCACCTTTCCCGGGTTCTACGGGAAATCAGAAGAAGACGTAGCCAAATTCATCACCAAGGGAGCCCAAGTCACAACAGAGACATCCGCGCAGGCCGCCAAATGGACACGAGACGCCACCGAAGCCGGCGATGAAGTGAACTACGCCATCGCCATGTCCAAGCGCTCGCTACACATCAGCAAGAGAATGTCCGAAGACGAAGAATGGGTCGAAAAGGAATACGAGCGCGCGGATTCCCTCGCACGACGAGCGGCTCGCCTTCGACGAGAAGCCGTCGCCGCCGCGGAGACGGCATCCGAAGGCAAAGGCACCGCGGAGGAAGTCCGATTTCAGTCTTTCGCGGCTCTGAATGCGAAGCGCGAAGCGGAAACTGCTCTCGAAGAAGTCGCAGAAGCGTACGCGACGGTCGCCTACGCCTTGAAAATCCGCTCGAGCCCTCAGAGTGTCGAATTCTTCACCACGCGCGACCAGACGGCGGCGGAAGGGGCCATGGGCCGGGAACGGAGGGCCAGGCGGGAGAGTTTCTTTGCGAATCAGGCCGCGCGGAAGCGGGAGGCTGTTCATGAGCAGGCTCTGAAATTGAGGGATGAGTTTTGAAAGAGAGAAAAAAAAAAGAGATATAAAAAAGGGATGTGGCCTCTTGATTGAGGAGAAGGGAGATCTACTTGGTTATTATTGTGAAAGTCGTTGATGATGATGATGATGATACCCGGAAAGAATATGTGTTTTTCTTTGCTCTGGGCGTGCTATCAGATTTTCGTTACGAAGACGAAGGAATGGAATGCCGAGATGAAAATGTCTGTTTGTTGCGAGATTCAATTTTCCCTGCAGTGTTGGAGCATTGTCGTTTTTTTCCAGATGCTTTATCTGTAGGAAGGTCTGTATTATGGTTTGCACATTTTTCCGCTCGTCTAGTCTATCGACACGGATATAAGATCGTACGCCCCTGGGTATATTCTGAAAGGACGAGTAGAAGCACGGAAGGTTGGCGCTAGCGTCCAGCACGGTCCATGTTGCTTAGTCATTCGACTTTTCTGAGTGAATCTCCCCTCTGTTCTTCGATTCCGTCGCATCTCTATTACAGCACACTTCCTCCAACTCCACAGCTGCACGACTCCTTTGCCATGATATTCGGAAGGAACGATGGGACATGGGACAGTCTGGGTCTCTTCTGCAGGCGGGATGGAAGATCTGATCTATGCTGTGCAGTCCTTCCCCCTCACCTAGGCTGAAAATTGCCCGGGTTTCGAGAGACGAAAGACCACCGCCGCGGCGTACGCCACCGAGGCCTGCGAAAATCCCCTTGCGCGAGGCACTTGTTTGAGATTTTCGAATTTTGATCGCGAAGGAGCACGATGAACATCATGCCGGGTCACCAGCTGCTGACTGAAAAGCCTCACAGTTACGGATCGATGCTTCAGCTCCGAGATCTCCTTGCCTCGAATTGTTATCAATTACTCTGAATCGCTCTTCCAGTTGTATCAGCTCGCTCTGAAGATTTACCGGATTGCAGACTGTCAGGGTAACTGGATACCCGGAAGAAGTAAAGTTTTTGTTCTGGATCGCGGGACAAGAAGCATGCGAATGCTGGACAGCCTGGCGTTGACAAGCCGCCATGCGCTTTCTCAGCAATACCATCCATCGGTCTTGACCTGGCAAAGAGCAAACAGCAATTTACCAGCTCTTCGACAGCCGACCTGGTGCTGGAAAGTTGTACTCATGGGCGCTGCAGAGAATGAGGCACCTCTTTGAGGTCAGCTTATTAGTACCATATTATCATTGACTTGATCCAAGCCAGCTGGCGCTCCGATGGGCGCGTTCCAACCAGTGCTGAATCTGATCATCTAGAGTCGGCAGAGTCTCTGAAACTCCGCAAGGAACGACGATTGCATCTCAAGATTGGTCACTGCGCTACTCGCCCTCGAGCATCAAAACGTGACCCAGGCGGAGAAGGAGGTTGAAGAAGCTCGATTGGATGCAGAATTGCAGACGTTGAGGAGCGAGAGCCAGCTTTTGCTTAACTCAGTGAACAGCAAGAGCGATCAGCTGTCTCGAAATGTGTCTTGGCAAGCGACGTCTGGAGGTATGATACGTTTCAATGCTGCGGATGATCCGCTTGCCAATCAGCAGGGCCGTGCAAACATGGTATCGAAGCAAGACGGCTCGAGGGCGAAACGTCGATGGCGCAAGGTTCGCCGGAGACCCAAAAGGCGCCATATAATCTGGCCCAATGCAAAGGCTGCCCTGGTAAGTGCAGTCTGGGGCTTCTTGGATCATTCAAGAAAAGTACTCGTGCATGTCGGTGGCATTGACTATTCGCCCCTTCCACCTGATTTCCCGTCTTTGCTACAAAACGAACGATGATCATCAGCAGCAGATTCTTGTACGACAGTGAGCGCAAGAACGGAAAGAGACAAGCTCATCTGTTTCTCGTGTCAATCAGGGTAGCCAAATAGTCTCTCCATGGCAAATTCATCGAACTGAAAGGAGTTCAAAAGGGCCTGGCGATGACGTTTTGCCTTCGGAGTCATTTCGGAGGCAAGCCGACAACACCCGACGTCCACACCCATCACTCACATGACACTCCGAGATAATCGCGTCTCAATCATTTCCCGATTGCAGTAATCGCATCGCCAAGCCTGAGGCCGTTCGAAAGGAATCGTTCCTTGACTGCTCGAAGCTCTTGCGGTCCTCAACAAGCATTCCTAGTAATCTTCTCCTGCCTTCTTCCCTCGACACCATCATCATTTTCTGCACAATCCTCACAAGCAAGCCAGATATGGTCAGTATTGCGATATTCCGGCCTTGGCATGATGTTTGTCCTACGAAGATACAAAGCTGACGATACAGATAGGGATGTGGGTTGCCGCCCTCCACAACTGCTCCGAGTCCCACCCATGGAGCATATGACATCAATTCCCACCACCGTCAGACCCGCTGAACAATCTATCCGCCAAACATACTCTATCCTGCCACATAATTCATCCCGAATGACCCTATACAACCCCGCGTGCTATGCGTTCATTGAACAGTGCGAGGATGGGGCACCCTCACACGCTCCACAACCAAAGCACAAAGGGTTCTCAAAACTTCTCATTCGACTCTGGAGTCTCGGTGGAGGCATGCCTCCCCATATGACGGACTGCCAAGAGTGGCAGCGTTATTCAGATGTACATATAGGCGGTAGGTCTGCGTTTCGTGCGCGAAGGGTTTCTTCCTGCATTGCTGTCCTGGCGTCTTCCTCTTTGCTTTATACGCTGGTCGTACACTCTTACCGCGACTGGAACGCGAGAACACATTGGCAACATGGTTGCTTTATTCTCCCACAAAGGCCTTCTGGGCGACCATCTTAGTGGTACTTCTCTCCAAACGGGAGTTTGTATCACGGCCGCATCGGCTTTTCTGCTCTTTGGATATGATCGTGAGTAAGATGCATCAGATCTGCCATTGAACATTCTCGCTAATGCAACGCAGAGGGTATTATGTCCGGTATCATCACCGAGCCCAATTTCCTCGACTGGTTCCCTCAGATGGATCCTGAAAACAAGAGCGGGGCCATCCAAGCACTTGTCGTCGCAATCTACGAAGTCGGCTGTCTTGTAGGGTCAGGTTTCATCGTATACGCTGGAGATATCCTGGGACGAAGGAAAGCTGTCTTGATCGGAACTTCCATCATGCTCGTCGGCACTGCGCTTCAGGCTACTGCTTGGACGATGGGCCACCTCATTGTTGGAAGAATTGTCACGGGCATTGGAAACGGGATGAACACATCAAGTATACCAGTCTGGCAGTCTGAGATGGCGCCGCCGAAGTAAGTCGGATCTTAATGGCTCTCCTCTGTCGGACGCTAACACGTACAGGATCCGAGGATTCCTTGTACTCTTCGAAGGAGCTCTCATTTCTGGAGGAATCATGATCTCTTACTGGATCAATTACGGTTTCTGGTTCGTCACAAACCACGGATCCTTCCAATGGCGATTCCCGATCGCATTCCAATCCCTCTTCGGCATCTGCCTTATCATCGGCGTCCTCCTCTACCCAGAATCTCCACGTTGGCTCATCAAGAAGGGCAAGTCTGACGCAGCCATTGCCACCATGGCTGTCCTAGAAGAGAAGAGCGAGGACGACCCGACCCTGCTGGCCGACATTGAAGAGATGAAGCGTATCAACGCCATCACGATGGAGAAGCTCACCCCAAAGGAGCTCTTTTCCAATGGCGAGGAGATGAACCTTTGGCGTCTAACCGTTGCTTGTCTCTCGCAGGCATTCCAGCAACTCGGTGGTCTAAACCTGGTTACCTATTACGCCACGACCGTTTTTGAGGACTCGCTGCAATTCGACGCAGAATTGAGCCGATTGATGACCGGCTGTCTGGGAACAGAGTTCTTCATCGCAGCGCTCGTCGCTCTGTTTGTTGTCGACCGCCTTGGACGGAGAAAACTCATGCTTTGGGGTGCTGTCGGAATGGGGACTTGCTTGTTGATCATTGGCGCTTGTCTTTCAAAAACCACGACTACATACAAGGCGCCAGCGTACGCTGCGACGGTCTTCATCTTCGTAAGTTCGCGCTCAGGCAACTTCTACTACATTCCTCACTGACATTACATCTTACAGGTCTATAACACCTGCTTCGCCATCGGCTGGCTAGGCGTCACTTGGGTGAGTTCAAGAACACTCCACGCAAAGAATGGATGCTAACGCGAGGATACAGCTATACCCAGCCGAAGTAACCCCCATCCGCATCCGCGCCGAAGCGAACGGCTTTTCCACCTGCTCCAACTGGCTCATCAACTACGGCGTCGTCCAACTCGCCCCCATCATGATCAACAAGATCTCCTGGAAAACCTATTTCGTCTTCATGTGTTTCAACTACATGCACGTGCCCATCGTGTTCTGGTTCTTCCCGGAGACCAACGGCTACAAACTCGAAGCGATGGATGCGATCTTTGAACGGGCGCACGAGAGGGGCGAGAACCCGGTCTGGGCGGAGAGGAAGATCAGAAAGGGGAAGGAAGGGTTGGATCTGAGTGGGCATGAGAATGGACGGGATGAGGAGGAGCCGGTGGGTGGGTTGAGGGGGATGGAAGAGGAGAAGAAGGAGGTCAGGAATGATTTGAATGGGGATGAGGAGAAGGAGGATATTTCGGATGGGCGATGAGGGGCTTGACAACCTTGCCTGAAAGAGAGACACTCTGTCCTTGCCATCCGTTGTCTGTTTGTGTATGATACCAAAAAGTGTCCTCTTTTCGGATGTATGAGAATGTCATGATATTACGAACGAATGTCTTGACACATCTCCATTTGCCAATCCGGACACCTAGACACCTACACACACACACACACACACACACACACACACACACACACACACACACACACACACACACACACACACACACACACACACACACACACACACACACACACACACACACACACACACACACACACACACACACACACACACACACACATACATATAGGACACACCAAAAGGGGGCTTAGTAATAACACATGTGTTTGCTAACACGTCTACCGCCGTTTGTCATTAGTGGAGGAGTAGAGGAGTGGGAGCAAGTGCCAAGCCCGTGCGCTCGCTTAGCGCCTTCACATGCCGAAACCCTAAACTCTAGCGCGCTGTAGCCTCAGGCGCAAACGCTCACCTTCCTCAAGTCAGGGACCATTCTTAAAGCTTTATAATCATTGTTTAAGCTGTGCTTTCATCATTCAACATGTACAAACGCCCTCGTGGCCAAGTGGTTAACGCGCTTACCCACCAAGTTTACCCGCCGTCTCAACACGGACCCTGATCGGAACGAGTTCTTTCGCAAGTTCTCGTGGGCACAGAACGGAATTTCCCCTAGTAATGCTCTGCCTTTCGTCCCCAGCGATATGACCCCGATCTTGCGTAACTTGTTCCTTTTTTTTTCGCAGATTTTTGTACACTTTTTTGAAAAATGAAAGACGGTCTCGTTTCCCGTTCTGTGCCACTACCCGCCCTGCTCACCTCACATGGTATTTTCTCAAGTCGTATAGCACCACTGCGTACATACCATCGACTCAGCATCAGCTCCATTTTTTTTCATCCTCGGACGACTCACCTCACGGTAGTTGAACGCACCATTAATAGAACCATGTCCACACGCGGCTATTCCCCTCGCTGTCTTCCTCCAGTCCTGCCAGAATTGGAGGGAGAAAATGCGGAGACGCTGCAAATCTATTTTACCGCGCCCTCGTCTCCCGCTGCACGTGGTCTTCCTACCTCCTTCTCAGGCGCGCTTCGTGACTTCCTTCTTCTATACCCACTATCTATATTCGATTAGGTCTTTTGTGGGGTAGTAGAAGCAGTCTCTTACGCGACTTTCTAGTCCGTACGAGTCTGATTGGAGATAGTAGTCTTCAGCCTTCAAGCGGTCTTTGACCCTGTCGCTTGCCCAGCCGGCTAGGCCCAGCGCGAAGAGCGAGTGAGCCGTTCCGGCAAAGAATGGTTCATGGTGAGGAAGACATTCTATAGGGCAGACTTGGTCAAGATGGAGCATGATGTGCATGAACCAGGCCGTCGAGAGCCCAGCGCCAAGAGCCGGTAAGCCCTTCCGGCAAAGGATTGTCCATGGTGAGTGAGGAAGGTATCTTTATAGGGCAGACTTGGTCGAGATGGAGCATGATATACACGAACCAGGCTCTCGAGACAACGAGATGGATACAGAAGATCGGAAATGTCGGCCATGATTGTTGACCAGGCAGAGATTTGGAAGGATAGGGTCAGACTCGAGTATCTGGTCCGACTTCTAGATTTCCTACTCGAGATGCGCCAGCCGGTTCGTTCAGCAGACTTTTCTGATGGGTGCATTCGGTGTGTACATGCGCGAGATGGAAGGGTTTCAAATTGCGAAAGGTAGAGGTTACGACAATTGGTGTTTCGCGGCGAAGGAGCGCGTACAGATATCCTCTGCCAACTGACGTGAGCTAATTCTAACGCAGGTGCTCAGCGGCGTGTGGGAGCGCGGCACAGTAGAAAGTCTGAGCCAAATGATTGGCCTACATAATTTGTGCTTGTTGATCCTTTGTGCGGAGCCGAAGGAAAACAACAGGTGTCTCCAATCTCAACATTCAACCTTCTTCACTTGCGTCGAGTCGCGCTCGCTTCTGGAGGCCTTGAAGATGGGCGGGTATCTTGGCGCTTGTGATATCTGAGTCCGTGCACTGTTGCTTGCTTATTGGTCGCAAGAAGTCTGGGCAAGTGTCCGTCAGCTAGGACATCAGGACCTGCATTCTGGCATGGAGCTTTCTCCGGCACGGAGGCCAACACAAAGATGTCGTTTCATCGATTCGTCCGGCTAAACCTTCACCCTATCCATCGTTTTCCCATCGCTGATCGTTTCGCCGCGGCAGTTGAAGAAGAGTCATCCGTCGAGGAGACAGTCGAAGATTCCGAAGTGGTAGTCGTGGCAGAAGTCGTCACAGTGGCTGTTGCACTTGAAGAAGAATCCGATGTAGAGCTACCTGAGGAAGTAGAAGCGGTAGTCGTTGCGGAACTCGAAGAGTCCGTCGTTGTAGTGGCAGACGAGGTCGAATCTGTCGTCGTCGATGCAGTGCCCGTGGTGGTAGAAGTCGAATTCGTCGAGGTTGAAGTAGCCGTCGAGCTGGAATCCGTGCTAGAAGAAGTGTAGTCGGCCGCAACGTATCCACAGACCGTCGTATTGCATCGGTACGCTCCTTCGTAGAAGATTGTGCCAAAGAGCTGACTGCATCGTCGCTTGCTTTCCGTCACATTTGTCCCGGTGTACTCGCATGTGCCCACGCTGTCTCCAGAAGAGTCGGTGCCCTTGTATATGTTGAAGGTCCCGTTGACCGCATCAGAGGTGTAGTTTCTCTCGAAATAAAGTCGTCCAGCGCCGCACACATCGCTTGTGCTGGTGAAAGAATCCGCATAAGCACCAGCAGTGTTGGTCTCCACGTATCGTGACGTCTGGGCCTTGTAGAGTTTGTGACAAGTAAAATCCTCCTCGTAAGAGACTCCGTTGCTGATGACCTGGACATTGTCACTGCAGGAGCCAAGGAAGAAGTCGCCATAGCACGAAGTCGTGTTGGCGATGATAAAGTCGGCCGAAATGAGTCGAGCCAGAAACAACGTCGACACAGCGAGTGAGTAGAACATGTTGGTCGTCGTCTGGAGTAAATCCGACCGCAAGGTGTCTGAGACAGACGCAGATCATTGCCGCCTTTCGCTGCTATATAGACGACTTGATGTTCTCCTTGTCTTTGTGATAGAAAGGTCACTAGCAGGGTTTGGCCGCGTGTGCATTCTACGCGGCTTGGTCCCACACATAGGCGATAGAGGCAAGGTCGGTAGCTGCGGCTCGAAGGCCTCGTCGCCAGTGGGCAGAGTCATGACCGCCGTCGCAGTAGCGGATCAAGTACAGCAACGGCATGCCCGAGAAGGACGAAGCGAAATTACTGGCGTTTCTCTGACCAGCTGCGAATTGCGATCAACATATCCCGACGACCTGTTCGGACCTTTCTCGTAGAGGCATCGAAGCTGAAGAAATTGATCGGAGCATTCCCGACCCGGCCGGCTTCTCGGGACCACCGGAAACTGGCGCATCGGCCCGCCCCGAATATTTCTCAATACGCGGCGTCTGCCATCATTATCCATTGTAGGAGCGAGGCTCAGTCGAGACAATGATCATGGGACCATACCTTACACATCCTTCCTCGACCATGACACAGCCCGAGTGCCCGTTTGAGATCGATATGCTTCGAGAAGCTGCATGGTACACGATCACGTGACAGACGTTGCCAAGACTATGACACCCCACTGTCTGGTGAACCTCACCTCTCGCTGCACATCTAGACCAAGCTTAATATATCCATGGACTCGTCCATTGACACGCAGCAAATCCAGCAAATCAGTCCAGAGTGTCGTCTGCACCGCAAGATGACGTGGATGGAAGAAAACTTGTTTCGGAGGGCGAAGTTGGGCAGCCTCACGTCTTCCAAGGGCGGCCTCATGTCTTCCAAGGGCGGCCCCACGTTACCTTTCGCATTAGCTGCTCAGCCTGTCTGGTACAGTGCCGCCGCCTGCGAGCCTGTTATGGCCGGCTTACAAGGCATGCGGCAAGCCTCAGGCAACAGTCTGTCGGTGCCAGCAAATAGGCTGAGCAGCTCAGGCCCTCGAGGGGCGCAGACGATTCGGACAAAACGCTGACGAGGCCACGAGGTTTGTATGTAGCGTTAAACCTATTCAAACCCGGTGTCCTGTTATCGTTAGAATCTTACGACGTTTTCCACTGACCTCGAATCAAAGAACACTCACCGAGACCTAGTCATCCTTCTGCCAGGGACTGTACCATGGATGGACACTTTCATAGCCATGAAGGATGGGGCGGGGGCTTTGGGAAGGGCAAGGAGCCAGTACCGAACCTTCCTCCAGGGTACTACTGCAATGAATGCACCACGTTCCGCCAGTATTGGTGGCCTTGTGTAGGTGTTCAACCAATCAAGGATTTCTGTCCCGCATTGACTGAGACAGCATAGTTCATGACTGGCCACACACTGCCGCAGCTCATCGAAGATATGGCGCTGTCCGCGGCGTTCCCTGCTGCCGACCTTCCGATAAACACCACCAGCATTGGAGAGTCGAGCAGTTCTTGCTATATGGACTCCTCCGCACCTTCCTTCCCTGCCACTTCCAACAGTTTTAATTGCAATGACTCTTTTCTCACGCAGGATTCCTCGGCTTTGTCTGGACCATGGCTAATGCCGAGTGACCAATCGAATCATAGCTTTTGTGACTTTCACTCTGCTGAGTCTTTCTCGGTACAACAAGCTTCTTCGTGTAGCGAAATTTCTATGAACGACGCTTCGGCGTCAGATTCTGCTGGACGGATCTCACGACTCGCCTACACTCCGGACCAGAAGTCTGAAATTGAACGTTGGCTTGAGAAATGGAGGACACGAGGCTGCCCACCGTCACAAGCCGAGATTTTCGCCCTTGCAACATTGCTCTCGATTGATAAAGATGGCGTATCGACCCTGGTTGTCTCACACTTCGCTTCAACTGGGGCTTCTTCCGCCCGTCAGGTACCAACTGCCCCAACGAATGGCTCATCATCTGACTCGGCTGGTCTAGAGGGCCCTGGTTTCTCGCCCGAACGCGACGTAGCAGACTGGGCTCAAGCACGCAACTCTACGTCCTGCAAGAACACGCAATCTAAGCTTGCCCCATCGAACAAACAATTCAAGTGCCCAACCGAGGGATGTTATTACTCCACTGATAAAAGCAAAGAGCTGATCAGGCATCTTGAGACCAAATGGCCACAAGAGTTCTGGTACTGCATCCTCTGTCGAGAAAATGGTAGCAAACCTTTCATATGCCAGCGGGGAAGCAAATTGATAGATCACCTTTGCAGCGGTGCCCACAACTACCCGAGAGGTAACCATTACGACAATATCCGTGATCGTTCTAAGATTGAGATTCCGGCTAGGTTTCCATCGGTCTGTCCTTTTGGTAATGCCAGAGGGCCTTGCAACAAGAGGTTCTCTTCCTGGGCTGAATTCTTCGAGCACTATCTCGAACACGTTCGGGGCCGTGTGAGTGATGGGCCATGGGACTTACGCCACCGGTTTCAGAGGCGATTCGATGAGGACGATGATAATGATTCTGGTGACGGGCCATCATCTGGGAGTGGAAGTTACAATAAGGCTCTTCCCGTGACCATTCAGCACCACGGTACCACCTCGACAGAGCGGAACGGCGTCCATTCACAATCCCATTCATCAGAATACCAAGGCCGTCATGCCTTGTTTGCCGGCTCCGACACTGCCAGCGAGCATCCAGTGGAGAACAAAAATGGCATCACGCTTGTTGATGTGGTAAATGTCCGTGTCAATAGACAGCACAGAAGCGTCAAATACCTTGCGCTGGAATACTCACTCCTGGACACAGTTCGAGGTGAGACAAGCAACTCTTATGACCAGGTCCAACAGACAACTGTGTGGGACAGCAGACATGATGCCCTGCAAGAAGTTTTCCTGGAAGCCGTCCTTCTGACGAGGCGCATGGGCTACCGCTACCTCTGGATCGACACAGTCTGTGCGAGCTCTCCCAAAACCACCGATGCTCTTGCAGCCTTACGAGGCGCAACCCTCGTCATAGTGCTCTTCGGACGAGCGACTTCGCCCGAACGCATTTGGCACTTTACGTGTCATTACAGCAAAGTTTCAACAGTCATGTCATGGGTGCAAGCAGACGAAGCTGGCCTGTCGTTTGCGCACATTCAAAATCTTGGACATGGCGCATTCGGCATCGTTGATGAAGTCAAGTTACTACCGAGCCACGAATCATTTGCTCGGAAGACATGGACGGCCAGTGGGAATCATGAGAGTCTCGCAAACGCAATCCAGGAATTCGAGATCTTGGAAAGGTGCCGGCACCCGAATATTCCTTCATTCGTCGCTTCCTATTTCCAGCGCCAGTCTCTGAACGTCCTCACTCAGCCAGTTGCACAGTGCGACTTGCGCGTGTTCCTAAACGATCCCCACCTCTGGCAATCGAAGCGTCCGCATTTGCCACGGTGGTACTACTCACTCGCCTCGGCGCTTGAGCATATTCATGGACAAGGTTACCGGCACAAGGACATCAAGCCTGCCAACATTCTCCTCCACGAGGAAGACGTTTACATTTCTGACTTTGGGACTTCGCGTCACGGGGATCCCGAGTCTAGCGGTGCTGGAGTCTTTACGCCTAAGTACTGCGCCCCAGAAGTTGCATCCCGAAAGCAATGCGGACGCAAAGCAGACATATTCTCTTTAGGATGCGTTTTCTTGGAAATGGTCACGGTCGAACACAACATTCCCCTTCGCAATCTCGAAGCGCACATCAGGAAATCTTCTCGGCGAGGCGCATTGAGGACGTATCAAGAAGTTATTCCCCGTCTTCTTGTGTGGATCGATATTTTGGAAGCTTCGGTGTCATCGCAATATCATTGCAAGATTCTCGACATTGGTAGAATCATGTTGAGCTCGGATCCGGACAAGAGACCTTCTGCTGCCACAGTCTGCCAGACTCTGTCACCCCTGATTGCAAACAGCATGTCGAAAAGCCTTGCTCCAGCCTCTGGTCTACCGTCTCCACAGCTTGCAGCCATGCATGGCCAGGTAGAGATCGTACGTTGGGAAGACCAGTTCAGACAGCCTTCAACACCTACTTTCACCAGATACTTTGAAAATGCTCAAACACAACTTGGCAAATGGGTTTCTTTGCCATTTGGCCTGGCATACCGAGAGTTTCCGCCTACGCATCTGCACGGTATCGCGAGCCCGATGACATCCCTTGCAATTGGCAAAAGCGCCGAAGGCAGACTTGAGAGATTCAAGAAAAGCTTTCACGTAGTCTATCACCTCAAACGGCTGAGATTGGCATCGAAGAATGAGAAGGCTCGGACAAGATCTCTGGAAAGATTCGAGAGTATGGACCTCGGCAACGACTCTTCTCTGCATCCTAAAGGCGACATCAAGAGCTATGGGTTTGCTAATACAATGGAGCCTGGCATTCTGCCTGCTCTTACCGGACATCTCAAAGATCGGCCAACACATTGCATTCCGGACCCTGAAGCGTTGTTCGACTCGATTATGAGGCAGGAAAGACCTGAAGATAGACAAGATCTGAAAAAGACCTTGGAAATAGTGTTTTACATCGCCTCCGTCATCGTTCATGACACCTTTGGGCCTTACCAGAGTGGCTCTGGGCATTCAAACTGGTCTTCATCTTTGGGACCTGAGAAATCATCCAATGTCAGCCACAAATCCGTTCGTGGTGCTTACAGTGACCACGACAGCATACTGGCCGAAGATAAACAAGATGGCATCGACGGCAGCATTCCCGATCCAACTTGTTACGAATGCACATCTGACAAGACGGGAGACCTGATAAAGGACATCATACACATTGATCTCGAATTTGCGAATGTCAATATGGCTTTGAAAGACGAGAATGGTCGCGGACCTAGCGAGTCCATGTGTCGTGATTATTGGCACAACGTCTTCGCGGATAAGTCACATATTTCTCACGGCAAGGAGTCCGTAGAGGATGAGAACCCTTGGCACTTTCACGACAAGGATTACGATGAAACGGAGATCTATGGAATGTCAGAACGGTTACAAGGCTGGCAGAAACCCTCCTGCGGATACGATATCTGGTCACTCGGGTGTGTGATGACTGAGGCGGCTAGCTGGATTGTCGGAAATGCCGACCACTCTCACGATAGGTTGGAGTATGGACCAAGACCTGTGCTTGTGAAAAAGCCAAGATCGCGCGAGCCACCCGTCGACACGGATCTCAACCACAAGAAAGCTTCTCGTGACAACAAGATCAAGACGGGATTCTCGAGTTTTGCATGAGGCTGCTGCTGGAAAACTCGCAGGACCTGTCGTTGACAGACCTCTGGCTTCCGCTGGAAAGCAGATTTTCTTAATGATAACGCCTGGCATCCTGATCTTGAAGTCTGGCATGATTGCCACAGCGATGGTGTCGGGGTACACTCGACCCCTCCGCCAGATTCGAAAGAGGACTCGAAGCGCTCTGCTTCGGTGTCCAAACTTTCAAGACACTTGACTGCAGACTTGGCCACGGGCAACGAACCTCATCTCGCACTCAATAGTCTGAAAAAGTCCTCAGAATACACGACCTACGGAATGTATCACTTGAAATCCCGGATGCCGGTCGCCGCCCAGAGACAGAGCGCCCCCTGCCTCTCATGGTGAGGGATCAGATGCCTGTCGCGGAGGGAGTCTACTTTTCTTGTGATGTCAAAGGCTTCAAGAGAGCAATGGGAAGTAAGTCATCGCAGCTGCTGACCTCAGTATGGGAACCCTTGGCTTACGAAGAAACAGATATAGATGGACCAGAGTATTGCCAAGAACCCAACATGAGGGAGGACGACTGCGGAGAAACCGTTTTCTTCGTCCCCCGGCCAGTATAATTCAGCAGAGTAGGAGCTGAGGACTGATCACGGTGGAGACGGATGCATCCATCCTGAAGCGTTTTGCTCGGCGTTCGGCGTAGTGATCACGGGTTGCCCAGGGAAGTTTGACAATAAATGAGTCGCAAGGAGAGGGTGTGGGAAGTGAAGGTCAATAGGCCGACGAGAGCAGGCTTAAATCGGCTCGGAGAGCACATAGCACACGAGAGGCCTCACATGATGTTACAAACAATTACACATTCTGCTAGTATAAGCTATGTCACTAGTTCTCACAGCCTCTCCAGTTCCTTGCGATGCCATCCACAGACGCTCCTGTGGTACGCGAAAAAGCTGAAAACCAATGTCATACTCCACGCTGAAGGACGCACTTTTGTCCACGAACAAAAGAAAATTCCAAAGCCAATGTTTGCCTGCCGATGGTTGGTATCAAGTGCAAAGACCCACACAGTAGTCCTCCTGGCCGCATACGTCTCCGCCGACTACAGCTCATTTCTCCGAGACTTTGTCGGAAAGCAATGGTTGTCGCTGCTATTCCGCATGTGCCTGTAGACGGAGACACACAGTTCAGCAAGCCATGTCAAAAGCAGAACGTTTGAACAGCGTAGCTACCCTTGGCTAGCAAAAGCGCGAGAGTGGCTTGGCGTCGTGGTGCCTGGGTTCGGGGGAGCTTTCATGCCCGTCGGCCTCATAACACGCAAGGAGTTAGCAATCGACAGAGAAACAGCGCATCCAAAACACATGAGACGAGTTGATAGAAATATGCTCCAGGGGAAAGGTAAGGTGGGGTATATATTTTCGGGGAAGGAGCAAGATTTCTAGTACCCGTTCATGGTCATGCGCTGGCTCTGCCTGCTGAGCTCGCGGTCGGCGGAAGGAGATATAGGCCTGCTGCCAGAGTGCACCTGTGCGGAGCTCTCTTTGAGTGCCAATAGCTGCTTGGCACGGAAAGATTCGTAGTGGATCTGGGAGGTCGTTTCGATCAGGTCCTGAAGGTGGGTGCGGGTGATGAAGTCGCGCAAGTAGACGAATTCGCAGTGCTTCTCGTCTTCGACGTTGATGGTGCCCCAGCGATTCTGACGGCCGCGCACAGTCTTGCCGTTAACGTTGATGTTGCGCTCGCTGCCGACGACGGCGAATGGGATGATGGACTAAGCCAAGCAGTCAGCCTATGTACAAGAAGCAGTCGGGATCAATATGGTATACCTTGATTTGGGAGTTCATGGCAGCCTCCTCGCTGTCGTACTCCTCGTTGTCGTATGGGTACATCCTGATGTTGTGGAAAGCAAACTCTTCCTTGATGCGGTCCTTGAACAGCTGTCTCTCCTCCAGGGTGAGACTATCAGCCTTGGCAATGACAGGGACAACGTTGACGGTCTCGCTCAGCTTCTTCAGAACCACGATATCGATTGGCTTCAAGGCGTGTCCTGTTGGGGCAATGAAGTACAGGCAGCAGTGGATGCGAGTATCCTGAATGTACCTCTCACGCTGGGCAGTGAGCTCTTTCCGCAGGTAGGCGCTGTGCTGGTCCTTGATGTACTTGACGATGGGATCCCAGCAGCGGTCGTTGTTGACGAGATCGCCATAGCCGGGAGTATCGACAATGTTCAGTCGCAGGCGCACGCCGTTCTCCTCAATGATGTGGGTGACCGGGTGGATCTCGGTGGTCTGGCGGATGGGCTCGCTGGGAGTCAGGCGACCCTTGCTGTCGACGAGGTGGGAAGCGAAGATGGTATTGATGAGAGTCGACTTGCCCAGGCCGGTTTGTCCTGTACGCGCAAGCCTGTGATTAGCGGATGTGTTCCGCGAAAGCGTAGGTGTTCAGAGGCGCATTGCATGAGACACCATGTACACCATTGGTACGGCTGGTATGTACATACCAACGCAAATAACATTGAACTGAAAGCCACGCTTCAACAGCTTCTTCTCGATCTGGTTGGTAATGCTGTCGAAGCCGACGTGGCTCTTGGGGAAGACCGAGGGCTGCTGGGCGTGTACGGCCGCCATTTTGCCAGACTATGGGATCGCGGGTGTATTGAGAATGGTGTTGCGAAGATGAAGGGTTGGTGAACGAGTGACTCGAAAGGGGGAGAGGTGGTGGAAGCGGATTTGGTGGTCGCAATGGAGATGGAGATGGAATTGGCAGGCGGACGTGGAGTTGGAGAAAGCTCATGGAAGTCAGGTCAGGGTTCGCGGAAAGGGGAAGCCGCTACCAGCCAGCCAATCAAAACTCCCGGAAAACTGCCGCAATTTGCTCTGCTGGGGGTCTGACGGAGATGCGCGGCTTGGCAGAGAACTTGAGATGAACATGTGAAGAAGACACTTCACGACACATTGACACGACATCCACAGACACGCGCAATGGCATCAGTACGATCGCCCTCCGCGTCCTTCCTCTCCGCCTTCGTGCCGGTGGTCCGCGCGAGCCTTCTCCCACAAGAACAATCGATCCAGCGGATACCTCTTCTTCAACAACTCCAGCAACTGCGACTGAAGGCTAGCCTACTACCTGCTGCTCTCATACCGATACCATCGTTACTAGGCGAGCTTTGGGATGGATTGCTCAAAGCTGTGCCGAAGAAGAAGACAAGTCACATGAAGACGAGACATAGGCAGATGGCAGGCAAAGCATTGAAGGACGTCACAGCATTGAACAAATGCAGCTCGTGTGGCAGGCTGAAGAGGGCGCACGTTCTATGTCCATATTGTGTCCAAAGTAGGTGGATGCGTAGATGCTCGTCAAAAACAAGATCCGAGGACGACGTGCTGACGTGCTTTGACAGGTATCAGGCAATGGATGGGAAACGGCTTCAAGAGCAAGCAGCAGGTGGAGTTAGAAGAGTATGATAAGTTCTCACGACTCAACGAGAGTCGATTAGCAAGAGGACTGAAACCACTTAAATGGGAAGACCTATATGACGACAAGGACAAGAAGGACGAAGCGAAAGCATAGAGTTGGCGCTGAACGCGGTCTTGTTTTGAGGGCAATGCGACATATTTGTACTGCACGATACGGCGTTCTGTACAAATCGATGGAGAGGTACGTATCTCACGTGTGCAGAAAGACGACGGAAGGGAAAGAGAGTTTCCCAGTCGCAACCAACTTTGTAACCACCTACCAAAGTCTTACATGGCCTGGGATAGACTGGCACCAGATCGCATCTCTACGGCATCTTCGCGAGCTCTTGCGCATTGCTCCTTCCCTCCTCTCCAGAAGACTGTCTCGCCAACCGATGCTGCTCTAAAGCTAGGGCGCATCACGTGATCTGTCACAAGCTCACTCCATGTCGCACCAAACCATCCAACATCATGTCACACAAGACACCTCGAAATTTACTTCATCACCTCTCTAAAATCAGGTCCAACAAGCCTCTCCTCCACAATGGCAAAAGCTACACCCCACCCGCTCCTTCCTCACAATCAACCCAATTCCCCAATAATTCCTCCTACCTCTCCACCTTGGGAGAACAAGCAAAACAACTTGGAAACACCCAAACCCTTACCACAACAAATCTCCCTTCTCCCAAATACCCGCCAATTCCGTCCAAACGCCCGTACCCGACTCATATACCCGAAATTCCAACAACCATCGAGAGAGGAACAGCAGCGACAACACTTCCTTGAGAAGTATTCTCATTCTCATTCGCTTGTTTTGATTCCAGAGGACGACGGGAGGAGATTCCCCCGACCGGCGAATCCAGTCTGTCTGTCTCAGACGCAACAACCAGTGCTAGATGTAGAAGACTATCCCTTGAAACGGCACGCACGGGGAGAGTATGGGAAGAAGTGCAAAACCAGGAGCGGCCTGCTGGAGTAGTTACTCAGGGGAAAGTGTGGTCGTGTGAGAGTGGGTTATAGTCTGCTACGAACATGGAGGATGACGATGGAATGTATCGTCAGTAGCGTGTTGCACGGCATGGAAGGGTTCGAAGGGGAGGCGAGATGAAAACTGTAGTGGCTGAGGACTCTGTATCGAGCATGAAGTGACAAAAATCATGGCTAATGCAAAACCGGAGATGAACCCCATCAGTGACACCACAGCAATGCTAAACGCCCCATGTGACTAGACATGTCCATTCGCCCTGGCAGCAGACGCAGGCGGCGGAGAAACGACATCATCTTCATCGTCCTCCGCGAGTCCAAATCTCTCTCGCTCGACTTCCCTCGCCTTGCCATTCCCATTCAGGGGCAATGCACTCAAATCATCCAATTCCGCTTCATCAAAGTCCCTCGCTGCTTCCACGTCCCGTTCTTCTTTCCTCCTGCTTTCATGATCCAAGCCAAGTCCCTCGCCAGACATATATCTCCCACTCCCGCCATTACCATCATAGGGGTCACTGCCCAGGATACCCCTATATCCTCTGCGCCTCTTGCGGTCCCGAATGACAAAGACGCCCCATGCTGCGGCAGCTATCAATACGACCACGAGCGCCACCTCACCGGATCTTCGGTAGGCGGTCCATGCAGCAGCTTGCAATCGCTCCTGTTCATCTTGTTCCGCGGCAGTGCTGTTGGGATGCCCGCCGACGGAGACCTCGACGCCCTTTTCCCCGTCGATGCGGCTGTCAGCTGGAGAGCCTCCAATCGAAGCGATGTCCACGCCCATGAAGCGGTCCAGCATGTCTCTTGACCTTCTAGGATAGTCAAAGGGGACCATGTGTGAGGAGTTGTAGAAGCGAAGGTAGGTGAGGTTCCGTGCGGTCTGGTATTGACCAGCTGCTTCGCCTTCAAAGGTCCAGTCGCGGCGAGGAGCAGTCATGCCTGGAGAGAGTTCCATTCCCTTGGCCCCATTCCATTCCATGTTGTTGATGACGTTCTCAGTTCCAATATGGTTGCATATCAGATCCTGGTCTCCCGAGAAAAGCACAATCGGAACTTTTTCGAGCAGACGTGGAAGCAGAACCTTGCTGGGCTTGGAATTGCGCGCGGAGAAAGCTCTCGAAACTTGACTGTTGCATTCCACCCAGCCAGTCTTCTTGTCGGAATTGATATGCAGAGCTTGGAGCACATCATCTCGTCGGAGGTAGGGCTTGACATACTCGAGGTCCGGAGGCCAGTTCATGCCGCAGGAAGGATAGGAATCGCGCTTGCGAACATCGTACATGTTGACGCAGCCCTGGTCGCTCTGGGTATTGCGGAGTATTTCCTGCATAATCTGCTCGCATGCCGAGTTGTCGACATGGTCTTGGCCCCCGTTTTCCAACGCTTTGATGCATTCTCCCTGCTGTTTCGTAGCAACTTGATCGGCCGGAGAACCTGATTGGAGGACGCCGGTCTCGTACGCGAAGGGGATGTATGAAATGTACTGCTCGGGCCCTGAGATCCAGCCATTGCCTATTAAGAGGCCAGAAAGGGTCCACTCCTTCGCTCTGTTCACGGCGTTCCGCTCGATGATGGCGTTCGCGATATATGGAATCCATTGGCCAGCATAGGACTCTCCTGCAATGTACAGCTACCGCTTGTCAGATGTGGCCGGTTCATTATCTCTTCTTCAACTTACATCCTCATGCTCATGCTCCGGAAAGATATCAAAGAAGCGCTCCAGGAACTTGACCATCTGATTGGCCATCTCGTCCATCTCATGCACAAAAGCATTGGTATCCGCATAACTGAAACCTGTTCCAACGGGCTGATCCACGAAGAGAACGTTCGCAAACTCGTCCCAGCTGCCGTTTGACATTCTCAAAGTTCCATTTTCATTCACTCGGTAAGGTCCAATCTCCATCAGCGCACCGTCCATGCTGCTACAACCCGGCCCTCCATTCAGCCAGATCACCGTTCTCTTTCTGTTCGCAACGTGCCTATTCTTAAACAGCCAGAAGAAGAGATTACCATGATGTTGAGGATCTATCTCGATATGCCCAGCGTACATGTCCAACCTAGGCTCAGCGGGCGCGCCTGGAAGATCGTGGACATAGTAATCGGCGGCGGATTTGGCGGCCTGAGCTATGGGTAGCCATGCTGATAACAATAGCGCTGCTGTCGCGAATACCGAGTGCCAACTTCGTAGTCTTCGCCGAGAGCAAGACGGCTGTGTATATGCCATGCTGGCGGCGGAAGGATGAGAGGATGTTTCGTGATACGTGTCCGCTCCTGTTATTGCTCGTTCATCGCCGGATTATGGATTATGCAGGTGTCGATTTGCGACTATGGATGATGTCGGACGTCGATGAATCGCATCGGAGATATAGATCGGCCGGGCAGTTTGCGAATGGATGTTGGTTGCGAGAGGAAATCGTTGAATCGCCGTGGGAGCTTCCAGATCCTCAGCCCGCCGTAGTCGCAAGTCGTCAGCTGTGCCTTACAAGGGTCCTGTCTATCCGCATCTCACCTAGTCGCATGGCAGTCGCGACTCCCTTTCGGAATAAAACTCGTGAATTCGATTTGGCCTCTCATACATTCTTCGATCCATCTTCCCTGCACTATTGAACCTCGAGAGCGGACAAAGACATTTCGTGCCTGAGGCATTAGACGTCACGTGCAGCGGCGGCCTAGCGCGACAACAGCAGCGCGTCACATTCACAACTCACTTCGATCACGGATGCCTCGCTCACAACACCCGATTAGCACACGCTTCAACTCGTTACCAACTCGTCACCAGCCCGTCTTCGACAGCACAATGCTTCAATTGCATGCACCTCCTCCAACTTGAGTCAACATGCCTGCGTGAGTACACAACTCAACGATCCGATTTACGCGACACTAACAACACAGCAGGCCGGGCGACCAACACCGCGACACGCCCGCATCTGTAAACCCGTTTCTCGAGCACAAGCCGCACATCAACGAATTTACCGCGCAAGAAGTCGCCACGCTCCAGAGCAGATTAGACAAACAGCTCGGACCTGAATACATATCCACGCGACCGGGTAATGGCGGCGGTAAGGTACACTACCTTGCGGCTGAGAAGGTCATCAACCTTGCGAATGAAGTGTTTGGCTTCAACGGCTGGAGCTCCTCAATTCAGAACGTGCAGATCGACTTCGTGGACGAGAACCCGGAGAACGGCCGGATAAATCTGGGCCTCTCGACAATAGTCAGAGTTACGCTACGAGACGGTACATTCCATGAGGACATTGGGTATGGGCACTGCGAGAACACAAAGGGCAAGGCGGCCGCTTTCGAGAAGGCGAAGAAGGAGGCCGCCACGGACGCGATGAAAAGAGCTCTGCGCAATTTCGGGAACGTGCTGGGCAACTGTCTCTATGACAAGGACTATCTGCAGAAGGTGACGAAAGTGAAGGTGGCACCTTCGAAATGGGACGCGGAGAATTTGCACAGGCACCCAGATTTTGCGCCCGTCAAGAAAGAGCCAATCAGTGACGAAGCCCGACAGAGGAAAGGCTCGGCCATCCATCGGAACACCAGCGTGCAGAGCAATCGATCCGCTGCCTCCCTCGGCTCAGCCGAATTCGAGGAAGACTTTGGAGGTAACGCCTTTGACGAGTCCGACTTCACCCATCCAGATGAAGTGCGCATTGACGACACTGCCATTTCAAATGGACCAGCGTCGCCTGCGCAAAGCGCTCCAAACGGCCAACCGCAACAACATTCAAATCAGAGGCAGGTCGTCCCAAGGACAAATTCGATGCCCCAAATGAGGCCTCCAAACATACAGCCTCCACCTGCTGTGCAAGGCCTGCAGGCTCCTCAGAAGCCACCAGGTATGCAGCGGCCGCCGATGAATGCCGGGCAACCTCCACAAAGGATGTTGCCTCATCAGACGCCGGGCAATCAGCCTCGACCGCAGCAAGTGATGAACGGACAGGCGCAGCAGAACCCAGATGGCTCAAGATCGAACCCCTCATCCGGAACGGCTATGGATTCGCCCTCCACAACAAGGCAGAGCAACGACTCCAACGGTAACATGCAGCAACAACGCGCAGACGTTGACAATGAAGGCTTTCCTATCCCGCGCGAGCCGCCCCAGGGACTCCCCGGTGGTTTCGTGACCGGACGAAAAGCCGAGATCTACAACCACCCTTCAGATGGACGACCTCCAAATGCAAATGTAGCATTCAACCCTCACGCCGACAGCCCGTCGATTCGCAGAACCCAAGGCGTGAACCCTGGCAAGTCTGCGCCCGTCAGCCGAATGCAGATCAACGGCGGAAGTGGAAATGCTCCAGCTCCAGCAGCGCAGCAGAACGGGAGCAATGCCGGCTTCCAAAATGCTGCTGCGAATGGGTTCAATGGCGCGCAGAGACAGAACGCAACAAACTACGTCAACCCGTCAGCCGATATGAACCGTAGAATCGGCATGCCGCAACAGTCCGGAGGTCCGGGCAATTTGCAGAACCGCACTGGATACCGTCCACCTACCGCGGTGAAAAGGCCGGCCATGGCAGATGTGACCAACACATTCGGCGTGGACGGCGCTTCCGATCCCAAGAAGACCAAGCTCGAAGGACAGGGCGATACTACCGAGGCCGGGGAGCAGAACGGTGTTGCTACATGACGATCTGGGCACGGTGGTTGCTAATATTCTGAACATTGTTCATTGCATCTTCAGCGAGGCGTCGGGTTGGGATCCAAATCAGGACCGGGAAGGGTTTTTTATCTACTAAGCTAGCGTTTACGAATGAACCACTTTGCTTCACATGCTTCGTCGATTTCATTAATAATGTCCTTTGCCCGTGGTAGCGCTTGCTCACGAGTTTTATACCTTTATAAAGCTAAGGTAAGTAGGAATTCATTCACTGGTGAGCAACGAACGATACACGCGAAATTCAGCTTCAATATGAGTGAATGTTCAGTTCACATGACCGGTCGCGAGGAGCAGCACAGCATAGGAAATAAAGCTTAGACTGAACAATATGGGCGATCCAATTCAAGCGGACGGACGCAGACATGGTAAAGGTAAAAGGTAAAGAAGATGAACAGAGAAGAGATGATTTTGCAGATTGAAACGCCTATATGATAGCTCCATACACACGGGTACAGATACAGATACAGATATAGATTTTATCTCGTACAACTTTTTTCGCCTCCACTCATCCATCCATCCATCCATCCATCCATCCATCCATCCATCCATCCATCCATCCATCATTCTCAATCCGTACAACTAACTAACTAACCAACTAACTAACTGACTGACTAACTAACTCACTAATCGTACAGACACACACACACACACACACACACACCCACCATATCGGGTATCTCTTCTATTCAACAACAACGACAGTATTAGTGTTTAAACTCCTGAATTCTTGTCCTTGCGGACGCGACAACCCGATACCCGACAGAAAACACCTTCGCTCGCTAAGAGAATACCCATATCTCATCGTAATAATAACAACAGTAATAAGCAATAACAAAGATGAAGAGCTCGAACGACGGTGATTTGTAGTAGTAGTGAGTGTGTGATGGAGATCACTCCAACTCCGGCATGCTCGGGCGACGACGACGAGGCATGTGATCTTCCAAGAACCAGAAGCTGAGCAACAAGACGCCACCCGCGACGACGCAGGCGGCGATCCAGAGTTCGTTGAGAGAAGAGACGATGGCGATGGTGAGGTCCGTCTGGAGGGGGGATTGATAGGATGGCATGGCGTGGAGGTCTCGGATGAGGAGGAAGATGTCCCGGGGTTGCAAGTCTTGCGGGAGGTGCAGGGTGTTGAGGAAGAGGGTGCCGGAGAGGAGGAGGCCGAGAGCGCCGCCGAGGGTGGTGGAGAAGGTGTGGAGTGGTGTGGCGTGGGTGTATTCTTCGTGGTTGGAAGCCGCGGTTGAGAGGGCGGTGTTGAGGGTTGGCAGGAGGACGCCGAGACCGGTGCCTGCCAAGAGGCCGACGGGGATGGAGAAGGCCATGGGCGTAGAGACGCCGAAGAGGATGGTGAGTCCAGATGAGAGGGCGAGGAGTGCCCAGCCCGTCCAGACGAGACTCCTGTAGCCGGTGTACAAGGTGGTTGCTGCAGCGAGGAGGCTGAAGACCACAAGCGGGAAAGTCCATGGCGCCAGTGAGAAATGTGAGGGCCGTGACCATGTCGTCTGAAAGAACAGCGGAAGGAAGTAGACGAAAGTCATGAGGACTGCACCCTGAACCAGTGCTCCAAAAGCAGCCATTGCTGCGCTGCCATTCTTGAAGATACTGATCGGCAGGAGAGCGTTCTGGACGCGCCAAGAGCGGCTGTAGGCACACCAGAGAGCGAGCCCGGCAATACCAACGACGAGCGGAAGAATGCTCTGATATGATTTCCAGCTGTAAACTGTGCCAGCCCAGGAGATGGAAACGGCCATCGAAGCGATAGACGCGGACAATAGCAGCCATCCAATGTAATCGGTCTTCGCCAGCGTCGACCATACAGAGGCAGAAGGAATGTAAGGCAGCCGTAGGAAGACCGCCAATCCAACCAGAGCAATCATGCTATAATGGATCTGCATCCAGCAAATACTCCTCCAGCTGAAAGTCTCAGTGAGGCATACCCCAACGATGGGCCCCAGGGCAATCCCAAGCCAGAAGACTTGCGAAGTAGACCTTTCGAACATCGTCCGAGGCTTGCTTCCCGATGAAGAGCTGATTTGGCTGAGTGTCAGCTTCGTGAGGACGGTGATTGCCCCAGCGCCAACACCTTCGAGTGATCGACCAAGCAAGATAGAAGTAGCACCGTGGGATGTGCCGCAGACGACATTGCCGATCGTGAATAGGAGCAATCCGAAGAAAAGGGTTGCTTTGCAGCCGAGAGCAAATGAGAGCTGCGTGAAAAGCGGTTGTGTGAGGGCGGCCGACAGGAGCAGTGATCCCGGCACCCATAGAGTCTGTACAGCCGTGAGGCGTAGGTCTTGAGATATAATCTGCTCCGGAGTCAGCTCATGCTCCCATACCAATGGATGTATTACGACTTACCGGCAACACCATTGCCATTGCAGTGGTAGATACATCGCACATGAAATTAAGCAGACAGAGACAAGCAAAGCAAGCATAGAAGCTCCAGGCATCCCTCCGACTCCCTCTCACTGCCGGTTGCACGTCTTCTTCCAAGGCCTCGACCGAAACGATAGCTTCCTTCTTCTGAAACACCGAAGCTCCAGAATCCGAACTCGAATACGTCGACATCTTGGAGACGCCTCCAAACGAAACAGTCGGGCGCAGGGGTGGTCGCACTGAAATTACCGGGTAGTCCGGTATCTTCGGTGTGGAGTTGCCGGTAATTTTGGCGAGTCCCTCCTCAGATGAATGAGGTCCTTTAATAGACGACGATGAGGTTTGTTGGATTTCATGTCCCGCATCGATCTCATGTCGGCTATCCCTAGGGGGGCGTAGAGAGGCTCCTTCTTTCTCGTCATGGTTTCGGGATCCACTGAGGACGAGCGGTTCGGAAAGTCTTGGGAGTGGGCTGGCTTGGTGCTGGGCCATGATGTCGGGTGGTCGAAGCGGCTGTAGATGTTCGGCGTTGTCGTTGTCGACGTGGAGGATAGGCATGAGAGGCAGGGAGCAAGAGGGAAGGAGATTCGCGGGCAGAGGTGATCCATGAAGAAGGATTCGCTGATGATGAGGAGGAGAGGAGGAGGATGAGGAGGAGGAGGAGTAGGAGGAGGAGGAAGGGATGGCTCTTTTGTTGGTGATGTACGATGTGGAAGTACAAGCAGTCGAAATGAGTGGTGGCACGGCAGGAGAGGTGAGGTTGTACGAGAGATTCAATGGCGTAGCAGAAGAAGGCTGCTGGTGTGCAGATCTCCAAACGAGTGGTTGTGCACCAGGATAACAGCGGGAAGGGCAATGGGGGAGTAGATATAACGGCAGCAGAGGGAGAGTAGCCGTGTCGCCGGGTTTGCGATTGCCGACGCCCAGGGCAATACTGGTGGCTAGATACAGCTGCTCAGCCGACCACAGAGCGGTGCGCCGAAGCCAGGGATCGGCACTGCCGAGTGCATGAGATGCGTAATAAGGTAGACTGAAGCAGCATGCTCCTGCGTTGCTGTAGGAGACGACCTGAGCGTGAGCCCGTGCCCGAGCAACACCAGAAGGCTTTTCACGGGGCTGCCGCTGGCTGTGTGCGCCTTTCCTGCCGACGTGCGTATGCGACGGAACGGGGCTTCTGGAACGCCAGACACCAGATCTCGTGCGGTATCGTGCCGGATCGTTCAAGGCAGAGATCGGCATGTTCCGAAGAGACGATCCTGTGGATCTGCCAGGAACCTGATGAAGTGCTCGGCCAGGATGACCAGTCGTGTCGTGCGTCGCCATTCATCACCCATCACGATTGATATTGGGTTGCACAGTAGGACAATTAATTGTTTCCCCCATCTGCCCCAACGAACGCCTCGCGCCGCATTGTTGCGAGAGATGGTCTTGGGTTGTCCGGATTCAGTCACATCTTCCCACGTGGCGACCCGGACGGGGAAGCTCGATGCCAGACGGGGAGGCAGCTGAGCGTCTGCCGGCGCGGCTTTCTCAGCTCTCCGCCGATGTGACGTGTGATGGATGAGGCGTCGAGGGTGGAAATTGATGCCGACATGTGAGGTCGTGGCGTTTCAGGGGAGCGTGCTTCCTCTCGGCCAATCGGAACGCAAGCGACAAGAGATCCGCTTTCGATCAATCTTACCCTTCTTCCTCCCTCCCTCACCATCAACGACAACATAAGGTACGGTAGAAACGACGGCTCCGAAAACAAAAAAAAATATGAAACATCTGTCATCTCCAACAAACAAACAAAACAAACGTTCTTGCGTGTGAACAAAGACCCTCGCCAAGACGACTCTCAGAGTATCGGCGCCAGAAGAACCCCGAAATCAGATTCCTCGCGGTCCGATGTGCCGGGATTGCTCGGTCATGCCCTGACCTTCTTCCACCCCACCCAAATATATCTGCCGACCTGATGACGCTTCATCTAGAGCGATCCTATATCGATCACGGTCGATCTCATAATACAGCGGTGCCCCTGTCGCGGCCGTCCGTGTGCTTGGACTCTCGGCGCTTCATCACACAGCACAGACAGAAATGGGGACTGCCCTTGTGCTCCCAGCGCCTCGGTGTGGTGCAACGAGCGATGTCGATCGATTCTTTTTCCAAAATGACGGACCAGCACCTTGGTGTTGAGATTGATGAGGAGCTATCTATCTTTTTGACCCACAAAAACACTTTCTCAGCTACTGTATCCGACAAGCCAGGGCGACATTTCCCTGGTACCCGGAAATACAGGTCGCAAAATGGCGTTTTGAATCTCTGTCGTCACAAATCACTCTCCCCCTGCTTCTGCCAGATGGAGGCATCGCAGACCAATTAAAGTCCCTCCGCAAAGGCTTCTCACTCGCTCTCGGCCATCTTCGGGATCCATCCATCCATCCATGCTTGCTTGCAAAGCACCAGCCTCGAACATGGGCTTCATTCGTAGTTCGTACGGAGCTGACAGGGACAGGCCCCTGCTGGGATTATTCCCAACGACACGGACACACTACTATGTCGTCAGCATCACTCAATCGTCGTTCCATTTTCCTGGGACATCACCCGATCTCCGACGAGGGTCGTAACCCTGTGCCGCCAGTCAGACCTCTCTCCAACCAACCATAGCCCTCTGCGCATCATAATAAAGCAGCATCTGGTGGCATCAATAGGAACGAAACCCTTTCCTCGGAAGATCTCGCGTCGGCATCATCCGCAAGCACACCAATTTAGCGCACGTCCGGAGAAATGGATGGGTGGTGTACCATAATATAGCAGTCCCACGTTTCCCTCCACAGCCCTGGCCCAGAAAGAGCCTAATCCTAAGCTCATGATCCATTCTCACAAGGACGTCACATCCAGCTCGATGCCGCCACAGGCCACAGCACATACACAACAGACATGGAATATTGTCGATGCCACGGATTGCATAAAGGTATCATGAATCTTCTCAGAAGCTGGGAGCAATAGGAGCAGCAGAGCAAGAATCTTTTCGAAGAGGGAATATCTACATCGGTCGCAAGTATGATCTGTTGCACGTCTGCGCTATGAGACCCAGCACAGCACCTGCCCACAACGATGGCTTCCCTCTTACTTCAGCGTGACCAGCTCCTCAGCCGAAGTGGGATGGATCGCCACACAGCGATCGAAATCCGCCTTGGTGGCACCCATCTTGATGGCAACCCCAAACCCTTGCAAGATCTCCGCAGATCCAATACCCAGGATGTGCAGACCGACAACCTTCTCTTCCTTGCCGGCACAGATGACCTTGTACGCGGTCGGCGCCTTGTCTTCCGGCTCCATCATCGCGTAGTACATGGATGTGAAGCTCGTCTGGTAGATCTTGATGTTCTCGTCGCCAAACTTCTTGCGAGCGTCGGGTTCCGTGAGACCGACACTGCCCACTTCGGGATGCGCGAAGACGACGGATGGGATGTTCTCGTATTCGAGCTTCGCGTCCGCCTTGCCGCCGAAGAGGCGGTCTGATAGTCTGCGACCGGCGGCGATGGCTACGGGTGTCAGTTCATAGCCCTTGTCGCAGACGTCACCGAGAGCGTAGATATGGTCCACGTTGGTATTTTGGTAGTCGTCCACGGGAATGTGGCCCTTCTCGTTCAGCTTGACTCCAGTCACGTCCAAGTTCAGGTGCGTTAGCTCGGGTGCTCGTCCAATCGCCCACAACACGGTATCGACGTCGAGAGTACCCTCTCCGTCGCTGTCCTTGTAGTGGAGCTTCTTCTGCCCATTTCCAATGTCCTCCAGCTTGGATTGAGATGATCTTGTGTGGATGATCATCCCTTGTCGCTTATACTCGGCCATGATCTTCTCCTGGACCATTGGGTCAAAAGTACGCAGGAAGCTGTCTTGTCGGATAAACAGATGCGTCTCGGTGCCCAGAGCGTTGAACATGCCAGCCATCTCGACTGCGATATATCCCGCACCCACGACAGCCACCTTCTTCGGCTGCTTCTCCAGTTCAAAGAACCCATCCGAAGTAATACCAAGCTCCACGCCCTCAATACCAGGTGGCAAGCTCGGGTATCCACCCACAGCCACCAGAATCTTCTTCGCCTTGATATCGACCTCGCTCTTGTCATCCAAGGTAACCTTCACCGTGTGCCGATCCTGAAACGTAGCCGTGCCGTGCAGATATTCCACCTTATCATTCTTCAAGTTCTTCTCGTAGATCCCGTTCAGTCGCTCGACGTACTTGGCTCGCTTGTGACTGAACGTAGGCCAGTCAAACGGCGCCGTCTCTTGCACGCTGAACCCGTACGCCTTGGCCTCGTGGATCGTCTCCGCGATAGCCGCCGCACTCCAGGTGATCTTCTTGGGCACGCATCCCACATTCACGCAGGTACCGCCCAGACGCTTGTTTTCGATCGCAATCGCCTTGGCGCCGTACATGGCGCTCGCTCTCCGCGCGCTGGCCAGGCCGCCCGAGCCGCCTCCAATGACGAGATAGTCGCATTCTTTCTGTATGGGCGCCATGATGGCGGGAGAAGAGGACAAGTGGCGGGCGAAGGAAGCGAGACGCTGCTGTGAGGGTGCCGTGGTGGTGGTGACGAAGGGAGTCCTCGTGCTGAAGAAGCGGATGGGGAGTGATCGAGACACTTTGACGGCGGGTGCAGAGCGGAGAGCTCAGCGCCCAGCGACTATCTGAGAGTTGAAATAGTGAGTGGTATGCCGCCACTTGGGATGACGTCTGCAGTAGTTGCGTGCTAGAGCTGTGGGAGCTTTGATGGGGTGGGAGCTCTCGTTCGAAACCGACTGACAGTTAGTCGCTGCTGCGTTTGCAATACCTGCGTTTGGAAAATGTCTCCTTAGGACTGTTCAATCATCGGATCTGATATCCTCTGATGCGGTATTGCCCTGGAATCTTCAATCTCCAAAACATTTCTCTCTTGCTGCAACGCGGCTCAAAGCCGGGCCGAAGCCGGGCATGTGAGGTCATCTCGTTGCTTGGTGAGCACCACAATCTAGACCGTGGGGCCCTGTTCGACGCATTACATGTACTCTGCGTGCAATCACAGATACAAGACAACTCATACAACAACCGAGAAGGTTCCACTGGACGTTTGGCTATAGCGGGGGAACAGGAGCGAACCAGCTACCGCACCCGTACAGGCAGGCAGCCTTCTGATGCGATGAAAGTTCCTCGACATGGGGAAGTCCTGTCATTGGGATTCTTGTGCGAGTCAGCCTCATTTGGGATGAAGACTGCAAAATGGGCCCGTTGGGAGGGCACAGGGCGATACAGTGCGAGGTGCACTGGACGAGTCGACATGTTTTGAGTCGCGCCGGAGATCTGCGGTCTAGTTGTGTAGTGGTATGTTGTGGATGAGCGCTGCAGGCGGAGTTGGCGAGTTTGTTTTAGTAGAGTTAGATCGTGACAGGACCTAGCGATATAATAAGTGTTATATTCGTTCTTCTTGAAGGGACATGAGGGTGAATTTTTCGGTCCAACATTAGCTATTCAGAAGCGCGCGCCTGAATCGGCTCCAGCATGTGAAGGCTCCGGTAAACCGACGAGCAACGAGAGGACTGGACATAGACGCCGTGCCTGAGTCTTTTCTTTGTTTCAAAATCCAAATTCAGGGTATAGAGAGGCAGATCTCAGCGCCTATATGCTACTGTGCCGCAATTCATCACCGACCGCGTGTACCCCGAAAGAGCGCTATCTTCATCAGGTTCGCGGTTCGCTTGCGATTTCCTGAGACACTTCCTTGTCATTAGTAGTGCTGTGCCGTAGTATGCAGAGAAGTTCACCAATGGTGTCTGTTAATCGGGCATTGTTCTTATCAGGAACCAAGGCGCTTTCAGCAGGGGCAATTTGCTGTAGTGCCATACCATATGGCCTGCCCGACCAAACCGGCGACTCGAGAATTTCTAAATTCTTCGCAAGTTGAAACTCCTTGTCCTTTGATGGTACTAGCAATCAAAAACCCCGCCAGGACGTGTACTCCGCCAACGCTAAGAACTCGTCCTCGAAGGCTCCAGTGACGAGGTCCAGATAGCTAGCGGTCCGCCACTCGTGCTCGTAATGGATACTGATGGCCATTTTACAATATTCCCAGTACTCTGGATACCATCCCGATTGGTCCCAGTCTATGATACCTGAGACGGAGCGCGAGCCAGCACTGCCGCTCACCATGACATTGGTCAGGTTCAGATCAGCGTGGCACAGATAGACTGGATGCTCGTCGCCTAGCAGCTCGCGATATGGGTCCTCGAATCCGTCTCCTACTGCTAAGATTTCTGGCACCGCAGCGGACGAAAGCGCATTGTTGAACTCGCGGACACTATCGTATGGGCCGCCCTCCTTGGTGCCGCGAAAGAAGTTGTCTAGAACAGCGCCTCCGTTGATGGAACCTAGTGATAAGTCAGTACCAGGCATCGATATTTGTCGAGCCATGGCGCAAATACATACCAATAAGTTGTTGATCTGAAGAACGAGTGACAGACCTCAGCTTCACCACAATCTGTCGTAGGTCGCTTGCAACTGAAGACTTCTCAGCTTGGTCAAGATCGGTCCAAACCTGGCTCAGTGTAATGCCAGGTACCAAGCTCATATAGATGAAGTTGAGCCCTTCGTGGACTCGCCAACCGAACAGCTCTGGCACCGGGACGTCCCCTGTTTGGAAGGCCTGCTGGACTGCCTGCATTGCAACCGCTCCTTCCAGTCGAACCTCCGAGGGACCACCATACTTTACGACCAGTCTGAGATGCTCAAATGTAACAATTCCGTAGCCCCTTCCGGAGAGTGCTTGGAGAACTTCGTCTGGTGGTGGTAGTCGCGGCACAATTTCTTCTGGCGAGCATGATCGGAAGAAGGACGATTGCAAGTTGTTGTAGCTAGTCAAACTCAAGTCGGAAAGCCTTTCCAGGTCAATCGTGACATTTTGAGCGGCTGATGTTTCGCGTTCGGCGCTCATGATTTTTAGCCTTGGTGAGCAAGAGGGTCCGCTCTCGGCTGTGCCGCAAACAGCGGCTATTTCATCCACAACACCTCACTGACGCGTGAAGACGAGCAATATGTGCGCGCATCTCGTGGATCGTGTTATTCGCTCTGTGCGAAGTTCTCAATCGTCGTCCCGCGCCAGTGATTTTGTGCGGATCCACCCGAGCTTTCTAACCCAATCTGGTCAAGCGCCATAGTTCATGCCTGAGGCCTAAAGTTCGTGAACGATTGCACTTGGTTCCAGGTTTGGTGACCGACCTCTCAGCACGACAACGCTCCAGCTCAGCCTGCAGCATCTTGAACTACCTAGGTACGCGACGAAGTCCAATACCATGCGTCGGAGAATCTCTCCTCTCCTGCGCGATCTCCAGAGCCTCGGTCCCAAGAATCCCCTTCTCAACCAAAACTCGCAAGAAATCCATCGTCCACTCCTGACACCTCCGATTCTTCACCTACTTGAGCATCAGTATTCAGCCTCCAACCTCCAACCCTCAACTACTCACCCCATCAACCGGACCCAGGAAGTTCCCACTAATCCCCGGCGGCCGAATCCCCAACGCGATCCTCTCTAACAATAACAACAACAACTCCTCCTCCTCCTCCTCCCCACCTGCAACCCGTTCTTCTTCTCCTCCTCCTCCACCTCCACCACAATTCACCTCGCCCAATTTCACACACTCCCTCTTCGCCTCGGCACAAGAATGTCCCTTCGCAATCTCATGCTGGAAACCCACCATGGGCGCGCCCACGACATGGATAAGGAGACCCTTGCCTTCGCGGCTAGGATCCAGATGCCGTGATGCGAAGTCGGGGACGAAGATGGCGAAATGCGCGCGCTGGGAAGCCGCTGGCCGGGAGATGGCCAGGTACACAGGCACATCTGTCATGACGATGCTGCCCACGGCTATATCGTCAAGTTTACCAGAATTTCTGTTGTAGCCTACCTCCCAGGTCAGACCCTCGCAAGCGAGATGCCGGCGGCTGCCGGATTTAGACTAGCTCGCTTCCTCGGGTCTGGGAAGCTTTTCAGCGCGGAATCGATAGGTAGGCCATAGCCCTCTACCTAAGGTAAGTAGGTCTCTAGAGAGGCCCGGGTCGATATAGGTAATAAACTCTAAATTTTTAGGATTTACGCTTTTTATTATACGAATAATCTAGTACTATTAGTAGTAATCTATATTATAGCTCTATAGATATTTAGCTTCTATTCTCTCTATAGGCCTATTCTCTCTATAAGTCTATTCTCTCTATAAGTCTATTCTCTCTTTAAGTAGATTCTCTTTATAAGTATTCTTCTTTATATATTTATCTATTTTACTTAGCCTATTATTATTATTTTAGGCCTATTCTTAGATTAGTAATATAACTATTCCCTTATAATAGATTACTATATAGATATAGGGATATTAGTATAATATCTAGGAATATAGTAGTATAGGTATAGTAATATATACTAGAATAATCCTAAAGAGACTAGAAGTAGGTTATATAATCTATCGATATCTAGGGGTATATACTAAGTATTACGTAACTACCGGAGTAAGCTCTAGACTAACTTATAACTAGTTTATAAGAGGTTCGTAAGGCCTCTATAGAACCTCTCTATATATAACGTTACTATATAATATATTATTACTAGATTATAAAGAGTTCGTAAGGTATCCGTAGGGCCTCTCTTTACGTAATATTACTACGTAATATCTTAGTACTAGATCGTAAGGGGTTCGTAAGGTATCTATAGAGCCTTTATAAGGCCTTATATTATATAATCTTATTATATAACGCGACCGAATCGCCTACGACCTACTTACGTATTATAAACGCTTCTCTTCTATATTAATATCTATATCGAATATACTTAGTTATCTTCTATACTAATCGTAGGTATATAAGCCTAGCCTTTCGGACTTTATATATTATTAGTAATTAGCTAGTAGAGATCCTAGGCTTAGCGCTTACGTATATCTTTATATATAAGATATTAGCCTAGTAATTCGTAAGCGGATCGCTATACTATCGTACTATAATCCTCCTATCTCTAGTAAACTCGAGTCGCTTTAGGGTCTTACTAGAAGCGATTTACTACCGAATCGTTAGTCTTTAAGTATAGATATTCTTACTAGAGAGGAATCGTAGTCGGTTCGTAAGTACTTTATAAGGCCTCTATAGAGCCTCCGTATCTATAGATTTTTAAGCCTTAGGCTATAATTCTTCTACGTAGTAATTAGTTACTACTCTAGAGTCTTCTAGAGAGTTCTACTAATTCTATAGAATTCTTCTTAGTAGATTCGCTAGTAAATTATATATAGGTAGTTACTAGAGTAATACTATATAGTAGAGCTATAGAGATTTAAGAAGCTTCGGTCTTATAACTCGTTCTAAATCTCTATATACTCGACTAACTATATACCTTTAACTCTCTATACTATATATTATATTCGTCTTTAACCTTCTATAATATATCTACGTATCGCCTATAACTAATCTTTTTCTTCTTATATCGAGGTAAGTTTAGCGCTAGTCTATAAGCTATTCGTAGACTAACCTACTTATAGCTTACCTATATATTTTCGTACCGAATTATCTACGAGTTACTAAAATAGCTAGCGCTTACCTATATCTTCTATTATTTATTCGTAAGACTAACGTTATAAAACTACGAAAGTAATCGCCTCTAACTGTCTATAATCGCCTATAGTAGGATTATAGACAGTTAGGATAGTTAGAGCGGTTAGGGCGGCTACTAGTATATTATTCTATCTAGTAGAATTACCTATAGCTAGCTAAGCTAATAGTAATAGTATAATAAAAGTAGGACAAAGTTTATATTACTCGTCGTCTCGTTCTATATAGATACTATAGCTAGGCTAGTACTATAGTCCGTCTATTAGGCTTAATAAATCTTAATATAAAAGCTATATAAAAGTTATATATTATTCGTTATAATCTCTACGTCCTATATTCGTTCGTTATATATAAGATATAGGGAAACTATATATTCTATTCTATCTATTTATCGCGTATAAGTATCGTATTATAGCGTAGTTATATTATATAATTATCCTTTAGGTACTAGATAATACCGAAATATTAGTTACGCTAAAATTTATATTAAAAGTTACTATAATAGCTATAATAAGTAC